ATTTTCCGTTGATTGGTGGGTTTATCAAGGATACCAACTTATATGAGAGACAAATATTCATATGTTTCCCTAAGTAAACAAAACGAAAAATAACCATGTATTTGCCAAAAATTCTGAGCACCAAAGAAGAAAATATAAGTGACCCGTACAATAAGAGACATTTTTGAATCTGTGAGTAGGTTTCAAGAAAGGAAATGAGATTTTAAAACTTTAAACGCAGCCCTTAAAAATGTATCTGTCAAGAGATGTTACGACTTTCAGTAATACCAAAATAAACAACTAGATACAAATTATTTTGTTTAGTAACTAATACTGTACATATAACCACAGCAAATATTTCGATGTCCCCGAATATCAACCATCACACACTGTGAATTCCTAAGCTACGTACATTAGAGTCAACAAAACTCTGAATTAGCAGTAAAACTGTGCTTCATTATCAGAGAAAATAATTCCATGATTTAATTACCCGTTCTAATGAAAACTTTGTTATTCGAGCCACATATTCACCGCGAGCCGTGTGTTACTTGTTCAGAGGGTCATTCTGGGATTAAACGCGGCGTAATTATTTTTATCTCATTGTGATCACTACTCTGTGCCTCCCAGCAAACAGAGTTCAGATATGTTTCATGTAAAACAGGCTCAAAGGCCATAGTATAGATTCTTCCTGAAGATTCAAATGTTGAGGGTATCGAAACGTGTGTCTGCTTTATGAGATGCTGAGTCAACTTTACACGTCACACTACGACAGAAATATATATCATTCATAAACTTTGTTTTGACAAATTCTACTCCATGTTATTTTGTCATAGTGATATAAAAAGATTCACCTATTAAATTTACTCATTTATTAATTTTAATTATTCTGTCCGTGTCTTATTTTAAATAATTTAAGCTTTAATTACCCAATAATTTTTTATTAATTGTAAGTATTTCAAATTCTCCTATGCAGACCTACAGGTTTCTAATAATCAAAATTCCTACGTGACGTTATTTGAAGAAAAATTAAAAATGGGCTCTAAGTTCGATGTTGTTCTCAGACACCGCAGTTGAAAATTCCAAACCAGAGACTTCTTACATGAATTGTTTTTGTTTAGCCAAACTACCGTTATATTTAAAATATGATTTTATTTCTTATGTAAAATTACACTCTTTACACATAGGGCGTGTTTACGTACCTTTAAACGACGATATGTAATACGTATAGAACCCAAAACAAGGTTCACTGTTACCTACAAGTAGCAAAACAGCAAAAATTCCATGAAATCCTGACGAATTGTTTACTGCAGAACAAACAGGTAACCACTAGTAAGCAATTCTGTGATCATTATGCCATTTCCGCAAGAATATTCTAAAAAAATCTTCCTTCTCGTTACCATTGAGTGTAAATACGTTAAAAATAAGACATATGTTCAAGATAGAAGCAGAATGGGAGTCGCCCTGACGATGGAGGCAGCAAGGACCTCTGAAACGTCGGTAAACTTCTACCAGACTACACGGCGGCAACGAACGAGAAGACAGACGTCTTCAGACTCACCATCGTGAGAACTCAAATTCTACTAAATATTCAATTATTAGGTTAAAAATTGTGTTTAAAAATCCTTTGAAGCCAGTAATTTGAAAGATTTTCTTAATACCATTTTGCGTTTCCGAACGGAAAGAGGGGGATTTTTATCTGATTATTTCCCTCGTGATAAATAGTTTAGCCTCAAGACAATTAACGATCTCATCTTATAACAAACAGCAACTAAAAAACTATAAGCACCATGTTTTTGAAGCTGTTAGTCTTTTAATAACCTAAGGGCACTTAATTATCTTTGCGCCATTTACATTTAGAATAAACATAAATCTGCCTACTCAGAGTACAGGAAGAGTTCTTCAATAAATTATGAAGGAAAAAATATCGAGACTACAGTTCTCGTACATTACGAGATTTTGAATATGAGACAACGGAATTATTACGCAACTCTGTTTATATTACTATCACAGACGATTTACTGGTAAGAAGTCCCCGACAGTTTCCGAGGCAAATAAGATAAACATATTGTGAAAGTGTAGACAAATTCATTAAAATCTCGTCTAAACAGCTCAACCAAAACAAATTCTGCATTAAGTCTTAAACCTGAGTCCGCTAATTGGGGATGTACGCTTTGTAGTCACAGAATAAAAGTACGTGGACCGATTTAATTACACACAAACCTAGCACCACGGAATTTAAGGAAAACAGTAAACTTCCAGGTAACAAAAACAAAAACTCAACAACAATCCTCTAGAGAACTCGTAATTGAAGTTTAGCGCCTTAAGACTGCTCTGAGACCAACCAATGCTTTCTCGACTTGAGAAAACTGTTAATACACACAAAATTCCCCTATTCCTCAACATGATTGGCTGGGAGTTGTTGAGTGAGACAGAGGGTTGGAAAGAGAAACGAGGAAATGATGCAAAGGGTGAGATGATAGGGAAATTAGCTAGGGCCCGTTCATCGGGAGGGAGTTACCATGCCGACCGGAAGTGATGCAATCTCAGGGCATAGACTGAACATGGCGGAAATGTTAGTAACTTCCGGAATTTACAAAACACAGTCGCTTTGAAAATGTCTGAGCGTGGAAAATGGGGAAAAGTGAGTATATTCCAGTTAAGTTATTTTCAAGGTAGATTTAAAACTCTAACACGAGATGAGTTGTTCTAAGTAAACCACTTTCACGACACCGAATATGTTAATTATAAGAACAACATTTGTACCACTAAACACGGTTAGATCTAGTATTCATTTAGGCCTGCTTATACTTAATCTGTCAAGGCATAAATACGTTTAATGAAGTCACGTGACGCCGAAGTTCAACGAGGTGTTAACAGAAAATAATTTAGTTAGTACAGTCCACGACTGTAATCTTGAGACGTGCAAGGAATGCACCCCGCAAGTCTCAAGATTACAGTCGTGGACTGTAGAAACACTTGCTCTGAAAATAACAACAAAAATTTCAATATTAAACAAATAATAAATTCCATTTAAAATTATAAACTAGAAAATTTGCTTCAGCATGTTTTAATTACGCGATCAGATAACCCGAACAACTGAGTAAAAGATACAAGAAGTATTACGTTTAAAAACGTAAATTTATATTAAACGAAAACAGCATCTGAACATAAAGATGGCTGTCTTCTAGGTTGCTGTGACGTAGTTCATCTCTCGAGGGTAAATTTCGTTCTGAAACTAGCCTGAAAGAAACTAGCATATTCTTTTTGGTCAAAAACGTTTATGTACTAAACTTCATCATCTAGAAACTTGAATATTTTTGTGTTTAAATAGAACAGCCTATTTATTTATACGAATTAAATCCTTATACATCTAATAATACCCATCCCTTTAAGGTTAGAGTTCTATAATTTATTGCATAGCAGATATTTTTTTAATAAGGTGAATCCACAGGTACTACCAACAGACCCCTGAACTATTGATCTACAAAGTAATTCCAGTACAAGTTACCATAGCAACTAATGGCGCTACCGTCCAATACAACTTCGCAATTAAATAACAAGAGTTGACTACTGACGTTAGTTTCCTCAGTGGAAGGAAAAGAGTAGCGTTTTGGAACAAAAGCAACGCGCACACCGCACTGTAAAAACATGGCGGGGCAGCGAAAGTTTATGACAGACAGCTCAATCAAGTAACAAAAGAAGTAGAATATTGCGATGACGTAATGATGTTAAGGTTGGAGCTCGATGCTGGCAGCCTCGTCAGAAGGAAGGAAATCAAACAGCAAAACACAGAAGGGAGGAAAGGCGAGATTAATTTTATGGTACAGTATCTGTAACAGTTTTTAGAACTCTACAGTGAGCGACCTATTTTTATGTGCATGACAGAATACTTAAATACAATATTTAAATGTTTTAAAAATGGCGTTATATCATTAGGACATATAACACAAAAGTATGTTACAATAGGCAACACTGTCAGTATAACTTATCATCATATTTTATAATGCAGTTTTAATGTGCCTATCCATATAAAATGACAACTAAATGTTTATTTTTATCTGTGCAAATTTGTCAAACCTCATAAAGCCTACTTTCCTTCCTTTATGACAAATTTATCTCAACAACGTTTACAGTTGTTGACTTATAGATTTTATATATAATTTGTGTGGATGTTTATTATCCATCTTTAATACAAAATCTTCTAATATTACCTCCAATGGCATGAACTAATGTAAATATAAGTGATTTGCCGCACCATCTGTTGAGAAGTTATTAACTAAAGGGCCCGGGAACATTTTCTGATCCGTTTACCTCCTTGGGTATCCTATAACCCGGATAGAAACATCGAAAATTCAAAGCTATGTGACCTGCTTTGCCCTCTATTGGCAAAAACATTAACTAATGTAAAGATTAAGTGAATTGCCATGCCATCTGTTGGGAAGGTGTAAACTAATGGGACCCGGAAAGTTTTCTGACCCGTTTACCTCCTTGGGTATCCTGTAACCCGGATAGAAACATCGAAAACCCAGACATGGACTAATTGTAAAAAGATAAGTGAACTGTCGCGTATATTAGCGAGGGCATGAACTAATGTAAAGATAAGTAAACTGCCGCACCATATATACAAGCAACTCTGTATTTACGAACGCTCAATTTAAGATCATTCGCTATAACGAACGTCACAATTCATTCAAAATTTCTTAAATTCGCCAGTTGATGGAGTTGCTTATAAAACGAAATGCCAAACGTATAGTGAACACAATTGTAAGATTTAAATAAATAAACTTTTAAAAAATGTATTTATTACAATAATTATCAGAAAATTATTACATGATAATTATACTGAACTGTTCTTGGATATTAAAACTAATCTAGCCAGTAAAAAAAACGTTGGTTTACATGCCACGCCGCGTAGAATGTTTTCTCGTGGGAAAGAAATCGGTGATTCCCCCATTTATAATATAATAGGATCATAACTTGCTTTGCCCAGGTTATCTTAGAGGGTCAATCATACTTCTGCATTTGGTGACTTAAAAATATATTTTAAAAATTTAAGCGATCACTGGTCCAAAGCCTAATAGTAATGCTGATGATGATAAACCATAACGCATACATACATCTGTGAATTAACCATGATTTTAATATTGATTATAGGAAATCAAAACATACGTTAACATTTTGTGTACATCAGTTGACTCGTTTAACAGTTGAAACTGGAAAACAGAGACAGTACAGCGATCTCACTAACCTATTTCTTTCTACAAAAATGAGGAAAAGACTGATTGAAATATATGGCATCAGACAGACGAGCTTTCCTTTAAATCTGTGGCATATTAGAGATGTGTTTAATTTATCCCTGTGTTCAAGTATCAGTCAATGTAAGATAGAGCACAGATGCAGTTACTGAGTGGAAAGGAACCGCCTTATAACGCCTTACTCAAGTTTCCTGACAGGTTGGATTTCCACTCCACGTTCCATCACTTAGACACGTGATGACAGGATGAGAGCTCACTTTCATTCCTAAAATAAAAATCTAAATTTATTTATTTCTACACACAGTAACATACAAAGTGAGTGTATTAGAACTAAATAATTTTAAATTCTGATATTTTATCATTTTTAAATTTTATCTGGCTGTCAGCCAGAATTTAACTCAAGGTCAACAGTTTAGTGGTACATTAGTCCAACATCCAGCCGGACCATATATAAAGCATAAAGGTTAACAGTATAATACATACTGATAAACCAATCTGAAATGGATTCGTTTAGTAACGTAGCCTGCAACATAACATAAATTCAATAAGTTTTTTATATGTATCTACCATCTGACGATAACCCAAAAAAGTCAAAGCATGCAATGGTTTTTCATTTTATATATACATGTATCAAATAAGTTGTGTTGCTGGTTCACTTAATTCCTTTCTTAAATATTCACACTCATCTAAGTCCACACTAAAAGTTAATATTGTACCGTGTGATGTATACCAACTTACCAGGTGGACAACCGTAAACCACATGGTCCTGATAAAGGTAAGAATCTCCAAGAATTGTTGCACCATTTTGAACAGGTGGTTTGCCACATGAAACACCTAAAGGAATTAATCAGAATCATGTAACAAGAATTCTAAGTCTTAAAAAACAAAATTTTTGTCATAACTCATAACATTTTATTTGTGATCTCTGCCACTGACCAAAGTATGATAACAAATTCCCTTCCTGTGAATAAAGTTATATCAATCTCGTGGTATTTTAATTTCCCTATACTCACCTTCCAGTTCTGTCATAACTGAGCTGATTTTGATATTTTTAATCAGATTCTTGTTTTATTGCACATGCATTTATCTACGAGTGACATAACCTTAAATTACAGAATATTACCCTTATGCTTCTGTGATCATATAAAATGGAATTTTCCATCTATCACATAAAATTCACTTTTGCTTTTTTAATTTGTTGTGTTTCGTTTATTTTGTCATTCTTTGAAACTTAATCACAGAAATCACAGTATAAAAATATATGATGATGATTACTCAAAGTTTCACCAATTATTATGCCATCATATTCCTTGGATCCTCATGATTTTGATTTTTACAAAAAAACAGAGCAAGACATCTGTCATACATCTGACTCAAGAGTACTCAAAGTAAAGATCAAATTTCCAACTATCGAAATTAAAATTATATCTTGCAAACAATTTAAACTGACTATAAAGGTTCAAGGTCATATAATGCATATGATAATATTGTAAAGTTGAAGAAAATGATTTACCATCTTTCACCACTTCTAGAATCTCTGTTTATATGTCTCCAGTAAAACAGTGTTACTGACAGACTTAGAACTAACAATGAAAAAATTTATTTTAGCTATTTCTCTACACGTCTGAAAATACAGTGTGTCGCATTTTAACCTTTTCAATGGCAGTCCTGAGAACATTTAGGTCACCCTGTAAATAATAAAGTGTTTTTTCTTTACTGAACATTGAATAACAAAGAAGCAAACCACTTACGCGTGCATTTTCCTCGAACCCGGGCCCACTTGCCAGTGGCAAGGCAACGAGATGTCATAACACCAAATGCTTTGTAGCCTTCCTTACAACGATAGTACAACATGTTACCATACAGATATTCCTTGGCAATATTGTCTAACTCTGTATGATGTGGAGTAGGAGGAGTCTGACACTGCACAGCTGTAAGGAATTTAAACAAAGTTAAGACGTCAGCGTATCCAAATATTTGCTAACCACCTACAGGACTACTGGATGCTGGGATACTGGGAACGACCCGTTCTTCAAGTGCCTGAGCACTGCGGGTCCCAACTTTCCATTGGCTCGATCTATGGACATTCGGTACGACTCCTTGGACGACGGATCGGCCCGTCGCAAGGCCTCTACCTGTACATAGGACAGCACAACACAGAAAAACGCGGACAAACATCCATGGCTTGAGTGGGATTCGAACCCACGATCCCAGCGACCAAGCGGCACAAGACCCACACCTCAGACCGCGCGGGCACTGCGGACCCCAAAATGTATATAACTTTGGCATCTATGGATAAGCCACATCAAAAACTATTCCAAAAGTGAAAATTATACATGAAACTCAAACTGGGGACAGAAATTAATTTGCAATGCTAGTGCTTAGTTATTTGTCATATGCATTAATTTGGTATGTCTGAGAGTTGAGTGTGGTACTTACGAGCACACGTTGTGTTATCATGACTCCACTGTCCATCTTCTTCGCAAGTGGAAATATCTGAACCATGAAGGATGTAACCCAATCGACATTTGAATTTTACAGCACTACCTACTGTAAAAATTTCAGATGATTCATCCTTAAGGATGTACCCATTATCAGGATCCTAAGGGAGGATAACAGAAAACATGTATTATGATGTGACTGTACCTCAAGTGATTTAATATATGGGGTATGAAGTTGGATATAATGTAACATGTTGTTTGTATGTAAATGCGGTGGGTGTCAAGGCAACCCTTGCACTGTGACCATTAAATGATCTTTTGTGCATACCCATTCTTCTAATCTGCTAGGACGCTGCGGTAACAATAAACCACAGTATCATACTTGACGGGATCTCACGACAATAGCCTTGTTTCAGTAGAAGACTACACAAATTGCAAAACTGAAGTTTCGCAAAAGCATCGTAATAACGAAGGACATGGGAGGCTGTTGCACACATTCATAGCTGTGTGAATTAATATCAAATACCTACTCTCAGACGCTACAGTCAATTTATTGCACGCGACAAAGGGACATACTTGATTCTGTCAGACAATCAGTTAGTGACACACATAATGTTACAAGCAAACTAAAATCCAACGCTGCTGCATAACTCTTCACATCCAAAATACGTTTAACAAAAATTACTTCCAGAATTAATACTAATGTGGGATATAATCTTTCAATGAACATATTACAGAAATTTTGTGGAATACTACCATCGACAGTGACAAGAAAAAACACCTGTTAGCGGAAACTTCCCCACTATCACAAAAGGGTCAAAGTATGGCAACAATTTCAGAAAGAAATTATTAAAGAAATTACAGACTTCAAGAAATTCAAATGTCATGATATCTTACCTTGGGTTGAGGACATTTGTACTGAAAAGGCTTACACAGAGCCTGACCTCTCTTCAGAATAGCATCAATCAACTCACTTCCAGCATAAGTATTGTTGAACAACACCCAGGAACCACTTAGCTGACAAGTCCAAGTAAGTTTCGTCAGCGACCACGATGAATTGAACATGGGAAAAGTTAGTCTGAAGCCAGGTTTGCATATAAAATCTGCTAAGGCATCATAAAAATCACCACTAACATTAAATTCACCATTTTCTGTGACACGAGTGGGAGGATCGGAATGCAGACCGAGCGTCGATAGATCGCACGTCACCCGTTCGCAGTGTGGCTCTGACGAAGACCATTTACCATTTTTCAAACACTCACGAATACCGGGACCAACAAGTCTGTACCCCAGCTCACAACTTACTTCAATCTCAGTGCCATACACATAAAGACTTCCATCACTTGATAAAATTGATGCATTTTGTCTTCTCTCATTTGCAGTATCACTGTAATTTGTCTTTAATGAAACCCTACCATGATCTAACGCCAAAGGTGTCGGACATTCAACAATAACGCAGTCAGTAACTTGGCCGTTCCAAACACCATTTTCATCACAGGTAATGTGCAGCTCTGAGTTTTCTGTGTCATGACGGAAAACATGCCCAGTCTCACATTCATAAGTTAATTGCTTCCCGAAGTCATACACCACCGCTTCAGCGTCATACCGATCTCCTCTGTTTCTGTCAACTGATACTGAAAATTCTTTACTATTATAATAATTTGTAGTGAAATTTACTGCCGATATATTTGTATGAAAATTCCTGATAGACCCATGAGATATCCTGAAAAAATAAAAAAATACATAGCGTAACTATTTTCGAGGTCATGTGTTTGAATTTCAGCCCACAGATTAATTGTCCTACAATCTTCTGTGATTTTCATCAGTACATCCCAATTCACTTCAGCCCACAGATTAATTGTCCTACAACCTTCTGTGATTTTCATCAGTACATCTCAATTCATCATTACAGTCATCCTAATAATTCAAGAGTAACCCCCACCTAAATTTTTAAATCAGACGCTACATACAGTTATCACTAGCCTTTAAAGGGTTAACCTCAACGCCCATTGTACAAAAGCCACATAAAATTAATATATTTAGGGTAAGCTACAGATATATTTGTGTGCCAGTGAAAGGGTTAACACAGATACTTACAGCGGAGGGTTCTTGCAGCCTGAGACACGACAGACAGGGACAGCGTCATCCCACTGTCCATCTTCAAGGCACATCAGTATGCTGGCTCCCTCTAACTGGAAGCCCACATCACATTCCACTTCTACCTGGTGCCCATACTGCAGTGTTGTGCTGTAGTTCCATTGGCCATCACTGGACTCAAGCAAGAGAGATCTAACACTCCCATTGGCTGGAGGTTTAATAATCTCACACGTCTTACCTATGGAATCCGACAGTCTGAATTAAATCAATAGAATAACAGAGGGGGAAGTGGAAACGAATAACCAAATGAATAAGAAACCCAAAAATACATACATTCTAAGATACATGGATTTTCAATTGTTTTGCGCATTTCCAAACACCACACAAAACAATGATCTTAAACACACACACGTAACTTCTGCTTTTGCACTTAGAAAGTTTTAAGTACTTCAAATTTGTTGCACAGAGTATTCATGAAGTTTAACAGATTCAAGGTTTCATTACAAATAATGTACTATCATACCAACCTTCACATATTGGAACCTCCCCACTCCATTTACCATTGGCCATACACACTCGGACTGGAGTACCAATCTGTTTGTAACCACGATTACAATAATAATGAATGGTGTCGGTGTAACGGTACGATCGTCCACGTATCACACCCCGAGTGAAGTATCCTGGGAAGCCACAACTTCTTCCTGTTATAAAAAAGTAAATTATATTTAGAAATTATTGAATATTTCTTCTTCATCTAATACAATCAGAATAATAAACTGAAAATTAAAAAAAATACCCTTTAACAAATGTAATGAATAACTGCTTTCTTAAGCTACGCTACATACTGAATCTATTTATGTCAGCAGAGTTTATACTGTTAAAAACCAGAAATAATTTTGAAATATCCTTCTGAAAGAGTAATTTTCATACGTATGCAGAATGGAGTTGGGCCATCCCATTCTCCTTGCTTCAGGCACTTCCTTTCTATTGTTGTGAGTTCTATATTCCCCCACCACAGAGAAAATCCTAGGTTGCAGGAATATACGGCAACACTGCCTGCACTCGATACAGACACAGTTCCATGGAAAGGAGCTGTTGGAACAACACAGTCTGAACAGAACGAAGAATTTTCTATCTGAAACAGTTAATCATCATCATATGCTCAGCTACAGGGGAACACATCAGGGAAAACACAGCTTACCAACCTCACATCCAAAAAATACAAAGGAGCGTTAAAAGATAAATTATGAATGGTCTAGAAAAAAATGCTGCAAGTTTCTTGGAAGTTTGTATGAGCAGTACTTTAACATTTCATAGCAAATAAATTGGCACTTTTTATAACACAGAAACCATCTTAAATAAAACAACACGTAAGTAAGCAAATATTATTGACGCTCGGGTGTCATACTGTGACAAGATTAAAAAAAATTCAAATAGTAAGATGATATAAAAGGCCATACTCTCAGATCTCCATGAATTCCAGTCAAGAAATCTGTCCACATGAAGATGTTTCCAGCTCTGGAAGACATCTCACACAGCATTGTTAAGTTCCAAATCTCTGTCACTTGGAGAATATAATCCCACATGGCAACACTGGAGAGGTACCCCATGAAGGACTCTGCCTCACTAAAACCACTGCCCATCAGATCCTGCTCCTGACCCAGAACCATAATTCCATCGCCTTAAAATAAACAACAACAACTTTATTGTTTGTATTTATATCTGGAACACGTTTTGAGCCATTTTGAACCCCTGATAATATTACCTTAACAGAGCATTATTCTAGGGTAGAAAACTTATGAATGGCAGTTACATAATGATACTGTCATCAAACAGCCAGTTGCAAATTGACCTTTGAATAATGATGCACAGGAAAAGATTTTGGTCAAAAGTCGGCAAGACGTTTTGTCAGAAAAGTGCCGTGTAGCAACATTCAAGGGAAGAGCTCAACTGTAATATTATTTCCTGGACCTCTTTATATTTTCTTAGCCTTTCTGAGTACGCCACCAGTTCACTCTGATTCTGATTAACAGAAGTGGTATATCACTCATCTGAAAAAATATCTCAGTCTTCACAAATACTATGATATCGAGTCAAAAAACCATGACTTATGTACACATGATTAGTGAAAGATCCTAAAAGAATTTCATCATCATATGAACGACATAACACAAAATAAAAATTATTATCTCTGCGGCTAATTATCAATATTCCCTCCTCACCTGCAATGAATGTTCCATTTGCAAGGCCCGTTCCATTATCACCAAGTTTCCCATCAATATAGATGCTCCATTCCCCATTTAAAGAATGCCACATGACACATATGGAATGCCAGGATCCATCATTTGCTGTAATGTCCGTCACAATCCGTTCACCATTCACATACAAGACGAAACTAAAACATAATTTGGAAAGCTCAGTCACGTCTGTTTGCCACGATTCAGAATCAAAGTTTAGATAATTCTTGACATGTCTGTTAAAATACAAAGCTTTATTTTTACTTCTGGTACATCTTCACACTGTAAAAATAAATACAAATATACATATTCTGAGTAATGAAATTATAGTTCGTATAAAATAAAATGTGTCATTTACAAGAGGTTGTACGGTGATTAAACAGGGAAAGGAATTGGTACAAAGTGGGTTATGTCCCCTTTTGAGAAGATACCATCTCGCCACTTGCCTAGAATGGCAGAGGGAGACCATAAGAATCGTAACCGGGACAGTCAGTATAACTCATGTAGCTGCAGTACTTACCCATTGTAGTCAGTAAGTGTGAAACTGTTGTCTGAAGTATTTGTTGCGTAAGAGAAGACAGTGCCATAGTTGAAACTGTCAGTAGATTTCAGCCACAAACACACAGAAACCTAAAACAAGACACAACATTCCAAATTCTCTTCTTAGTTATCAGAAATATCGTCTGTTGTGGAATTGTAATATTCTACATTTTTTAAATATAATTAATAACAAACTGTAAAAGGCAATAATGTAGGGTTTAAATTAAAATTAAAGGCAGCATAACATTAACAATAAATGACCTCTTAGATCCAAAAGTAATACAAAAGTAAGCAACACTGAAGCATATCAATTCCTCCACTTATTTTAACACCGTCTCCACGATGGAGTCGAGTACGCTTCTCCAAAACACTGACATCGACCAACCAGTCCACACAGAGCCAGAACCCAAAAGAAAATCATTGTCACTACCGTGAAAACCTAAAATCTCGCATCTTATGATCTGTCACACTCGGCACAGACAATTACAGTAGCTTACCTCACTGAGTGGTGAATGTGGACCAGTCAGAAGCACATAGTCCGTCGTTCCAGATGATGGAAAACGGAGGAAATATTCCGAAGGAAGTTCTGTAAATGCAAATTAAGGTTTTCTGATGGCCAGAGTTCATCACTAATCTTAATTTCACCAATAATACCAATGGAATGCACTAAATATATCTATTTCAATGACTATCAATTTATTCTAAATGAAATTATGTTTCCCTGTCAATAAAATTGTGATGTGAAATACTCATACTATTTAATGTTCATCAAACATGTTCTATTTCTGAAAGTCAACTCACTCGATTCACAGTGATTTCCAGTGTACAATGTTGTACATTTACATTTGTATCCTGCTACCAAATCAATACATGTTCCATTATTGGTGCATGGCCTGCTGTAACAGTCATCTGTATTTATTTCGCAGTTTCTTCCTTCAAATCCGTCAGGACATTCACAGCTGAAAACAAAAATTTATTATCCCGAAACTGGGATTACACTTTTCTGATTAAGACAAAAATTTGCTACACATCGTAAGAATCAAAGTGTCAATTATTAAGACCACATAATTTATGTTCCTAATGTCTCCAGTTCTGGTCCTTTGACCTTTGTAACATCAATGTCTGACCACTTTAGAGGGGAAGATGCAACTTCCGAGGTGACAGTAACCATGGAATGGAATTTTATTTTCTCCCATTAACAAAGAAACAACAAAACTTATATCTGGCAGAGGATATCTACAGCCCACACATGGAATCTGACCATGGTGAGGGCATGGCACATACCATAAAGTTCTGATCGACTTTAACCACACCACCCTTATCTCACCTGTAATTAAGGCCGCTAACAACACAAGTAGCAGCACTATAGCACGGTTCACTCAAGCAAGAATCAAATGGTTCTACTTCGCAAAATCTGCCAGAATAACCCTGAAGACACTGGCAGCTGTAACTGGCAATGCCGTCAATACAAGTGGCATTGTGTAGACAAGGAAGTGCTACGCATTCATTAATATTTTCCTCACACAACAGCCCTGTGAACAATCACAAAAATCCCTATACTAAACACTTTATAAGGTATTTATGGCATTTGTGATAATACCAACTGTTTAAACTGTATTTCCCTAAAGATGGCTGTATTCCGTGTTGCTGCACTGTGAGTACTCATCGTCCTGCTAGAGGCAGCAAGCACCTCTTAAACACTGGTAAATTTATATCAGACTATATGCTGCAACAACCCAGAAGACAGCCATGTTCATACTCGCCGCTGTGAAACTTCAAATCTCATTCCGTAATTTCCCGTTTTCTTTCAGTGGGCTCCATAATTTGTGCCCTTCACCAAATAATAGGATGATTAAATCAATGAGGATGAGAAGAATGGGGCATGCATCATGCAAGAACAATCCAAGAAATGCATACAAAATTTTGGTTAAAAACCTGAGCAGAAGAAATCACTAAGAAGACCTATGCATAATCAGGATGACAACATAAAAAATATTAAGGAAACTATGAATGGAAGGTGTGGAGTGGATTCATCTTACTCTGAACAGATTTATTACTGAAAAGGCCAAATAAACATTTTCAACGTTTTAAACGTGTAACGGATTAATGTGACGATTACATCAATTCTTTTATAACTTAACACACAATTTTAAACAATCTTTCAATGAGCATGACCAGTTCAACAAATTTATATTTTATTATAACTGTAGAAAAAGATAAATTCCAGTATTCTATTACAGATGACTCAAAATGCTTTTTGTGTATTACTTATATTTATAAATGAATACAAACAGAAGGATGTACCTTGAAATCCATCCACGCAAAGGCATGTAAAGCTGTTGATACCATCAACACATACTGCACCATTCAAACAAGGATTAGAAATGCATTCATTAATTTCTACCTAAAAAACAAAGGTGTGTATTAGGACAAGCCAACTAAAACCGTCTACTCTTATAAGAGAAGAGAGTTTGTATCACTATGTTTTAGTGCATAAAAGGCTATGATTAAATATAATTTTGTGTAAGTTGTAGCTGAATAAATAATGAAAAGTCATCTTTAGAGAATGAAGAAAGTTATTGAAGTCTTCAATATGAACTGAAAATGACAAACCTAAACCGTCATGACAAGTTTTATTAATTTATACAAACGCATCTGGATTATGCAAAAGCAACAATTAGTTTTAATTCTAAATTATTAAAATTTCCATTTGTTCATTAAATATAATTATACGACTATATAAAATTATTAAAATTTCCATTTGTTCATTGAATATAATTCTACGACTATGTGAAGTACGAACAATGAAAATTTAAGTGATGTTTCATTACCTAAATAATGACATGACAAATGTAGTAAACTAAAGTCCTTTTATCCTTGTTCCGTGTATGTAAAAGCTGTCTTACTTCAGAAACCAAGAAAAAATCTCAAGGTAAAATCTAAAATAATAAAAATATTGACTACTGTATGTTCTTAAATGGTTTAGTACTACAAATGAAGTGATTTACCTCACAATTAAGACCAGAGTATCCAGGCAGACAAGAACAGTTATACTGGGATGGCTCAGTGTCCATACAGGAAGCACCATGCAGACAAGGGCTAGAGTCACAGTTCTTCACTTGTAACTCACAATATGATCCTGTGTAATAAGACGCATATAGCATTTGGTTCAAATTTTAACCAGACCCTATCCATCCTCAGTTGAAAAATGCCACATCTGAGTCAATATCTGTCCTTTCCAATTCAACGCTTGTTGAACTCTTCATTTTTCTATCTGTCACTTTTCATATCTCTGTTCACTGCCTGTTCGCTTGAACTTGTTTCAAACCAACATTGTAAATGGTGTCGTCATCAGGTTCAATTCCCCGCTTCTACAGAAGCAGACAGTGAACAGTGTGTGTGAAAAGCGACAGGCAGAGAAACCGAGAGTTCAACACAACACATTGGGATGCTACACTACAGACTTGTATCACATGTTATAAGTCTTCATCAGAGGTACAATCTCTCAGTGAACTACAAACTACTGGTTCCAGTTAACATTACTGCTACGAATGACAGTAATGCGGGGTAATAATTCATAGCTGCAGCCACAACAAATTAACTGGGAATAATATATTTAGAGCATAATTTTCAGCATGAGTTACTATATCTTCTTGATTTGAAGATACCATCAATTATAAGATACACCCTTGACTTAACAATCGATTTTTCAGGAAAAAGATACTGTATCGATTATCAGACGCCATCAAATGTGACGTGTGTGCCAATTTCACAGATTTTAAAATGTGAAAAAAGACGTGTATCTCATAACTGAGGAAATATGGGATAATGGCGGAAGTGGTTAAATTTACCTATAAAGCTTGGGCTACATTCACAGGTGAAAACACCTGACCCCAAACTGTGACATGATCCTCCATTAAGACAGGGCTGCAAGAGGCACTCGACTCCAACCTGTTCTCCATTTTCATTGTAGCAGAAATTCTGTCCTTCCAGAGTTTGATTATAACCTGGAGGACATTTCAGGCACGGAACTAATCCTGACTGAGATATCTCCCCTGGTGGGCAGAAGGCTGTAAATAAATACCTCTATATAACAAAAACAAGAATTATAAAAACTTTAAAGAATAAAAAAAGAAAACATTGTGTCTATGTGTCATGGAATCCATTGAAGAAATAAATAGACACTACCTCATTATGTAACAGTACTAAATAAATGTCTATGAACAGAAAAGTGTAAAGCAACTGCATTTTGATGATGGAATAATAATGGTCGATAAAACAAATATTTGTGGATTAGATAAATAGACAGTGATACTGCTCTTTTGGGCAGTAACAATATATGGATTTGTACATAAATACCAAAGTTACTTTCTTCTTTATTGTGCCGTCTCCTTTACAGGAGGTTGGCGACATATTATGAACAGGATCCTTCCATCCTTTTCTCGGACTGGGACCTGAGTTACTGCCTAGACCATGCAAATATTATGTTAACACACATTATTAAATAAATTTATTTTATGTAAACTAACCAACAATAGAACATGAACACTAGTATTGAAGTGGTTACTTAAGGATATCATGTGATTCTGAATCCTTGTGGAGTGCCTGCAAGCCATAACATGGCAATCCTTTTGTTACACCATCACCGTAAGTTACCTTTACAATCACCAAGATCAACAGAACCCCTCTTAAGAGTTGTCCAGTTGCCCGGACAGTGTGAACATTCTGTTTGGCCAGGTTTGGGCTGGTAGCTTCCGTAGTCACACGTCGTGCAGGGTGTCAAGCCAGGTACTGTAGAACTCTTCCAGTGTTTACGTTTCCGGCCAAAACAACCCGGAGGGCAAAGAGCTGATAAAAAGATTGCAGTAACTATCTGTTAATTACACGCAACTTCCATTATTCTTGAAAAAGTATGCAAGAATATAAAAAGTCCCAAAAATGAACAGCAATAAGCATTTTCATAAATTAGTCACCACATAATTTCATTATTATTGCTTTTAATTATTACAGAAGACGCAGAACTACCATAAAAAATAATGAGGTATTTATAACTTAAAAATTAATTAAACAATATTTTTCGGATTATCCATTATATCCAGTTGTTCATGTCACTTATCTTCACCGTTACCATGAATAATCATGAGTATTGCAGTTATATACTTGTCACATACTCATATACTTAATTCTATTTACATTTTTGCAAATTTTCAGTTTTATTGTGACCTAAAACCGTAAATTTACATTTAAGAATGTCGAGGAACAGATAGCTGGAGATTCCATTTAACTTAATTGTTACTGCAAAGAAATAACATCACTTCATGTCAAGGAGAAATAAGGAATTATGGTCAATGTCGTGAATCATGAGGACGAAAAGTTGTACAAATCTAGAAAATATTACGTTTTCACATATGGAAAATTAATATGTATAGTTTCTAGGTATCTAACTTTCAAATACTGACAAAAGAACATGTCCTACAAGGAACCAAATAAGGACCTCAACAACTGATCTCTTCCACTAAAATAGGCACGAATGATGACTCTAGCTTTCAATACATACCAATGGCCTCCCCTCCACCTCCAGCATAGAAAGCAAACATACATAGACTCAATGGGAAAGCATAAGTCAAGAAAGATTTATGTAAAGAATCCCATACAAAAACAGCCCGAAAAATAAATAGTGAACTAGTCTACATCAATACGCACTTACGTCGACATTCATGTACATTCTTTGCATGTGTCCTTCTTGTTGATGTTCCTGGCGGACAAGAGAGACAGATAATGCTTCCCTCCAGAGGTTGATAATGACCGATTGGACATGACTGACATGAACTAATGGTCATGTTACAGTATGTTCCCACTGGACACTTCACACATGTGCTGCCTTTAAATACGGAGCCAGGCGCACAAATGAACTTTGATGTATCCTTGAACTCAACATGTTTGATTTTTAGCGGTTTCTTGCGATGTGGGAAGTTCAGCACGGTTCCCTTCCTTACTGAATGGTGGAGGGAATCCTTCGCTCGATTCATTCCAGATTGCAGAATTTGTAGATTTGTTTGATTCTGCATACCTTTGACATGACCTGGAAGAGATAGTGGTTCAGTGTTGCTTTAAAATTCTTGTGAGAAGGAGAAATCTGAACAATCAAATAACTGCAATAAAATGAATGGTAAGAAAGAATTAAACATAGACACAAAAGAGGCATTTGCTCTAGTATGCTAATGTTTAGTCCCCAAATATTTATTTTAATTAACCTTTATCACATGGGAACGTAGGATTTGGACCACCATACTACATACTCAGTGACGTTCTTACCCTTTGCTGACACCACCTTCAACCACATCAGCAGAGTGCTATGTACACATAAAATCAAGATGATGGCTCTCCTGCCAAAGAAGCTTTTCAGTTTTCTTCAGCCCAAGGTTGACCTCACCCTAAAAATTCCAGGTGTACATAGCATTTCCTACGAGTGTGGAAAGGTTTATACACTGGAAAAACTGGGCGTTCAACTTAGATTAGTGATAAGGAGCACCATCAACACATTTGTCTGTACCACACTGAGAATGTGGTGACGGAACACAGCTTTAACCTAGGTCGTCATATACAGCTGCAGAATACCAGTGTTCGGGCCACAAGTCAAGATTCATGGACTGTATCATAAGGGAAGTGATAAATTAGGTCATGGTAACCTCTCGTTCATGGCCTGAAAGAACGGAAACAGGCTCTCACCTATCATATGAAACTGAAGTTCAATCTTGTTCCCTTGGGTCTTCTCAACAGCTTTCTTCCCATGTACGTTCAGGTATGTTGAGTCTATGGCATTCAGTGTCTCATTCATGGTTATACTTTGGCTAGAAAATCTCTTTGTTACGTTCATCATTCTGATTGCTCCATTAGACACAGTTCCAACCTACAACACCATGCACCAAAACCCGTTAGTACGTTGCTGATTCCTGATTACGGCATTTAAACCTCAGACAAATAAGTTTAAAGTTTCTATGATCTGTAAAAAGACACAGGGAAGAAAGCAGAAAGAGGAGTTGGAATATAATGTGATAAATCAAATTATGGTTGTAAAATATGTCACAATACTAACATTTCTTGGTATGCTATTGTGCCGTCTCTTTCTAGTCACTATATTTGATTCTTCCTCTAGGCCTGACAGAATTTGGTCACATACTGTAGCCATATCCTCCACATGACACGACAGGGTATCACCGCAGATTTCAGCTAACTGTTGCGTTATTTTATCTCTCACATGACTCTCAACCTGCAAAAAAAATCATTAAATAATTTTCTCCAGTGAAATAAGACACACAAAGTTAAAGAGAAAGATGTGTCATTAACATCGTGCGCCCTTACTGATGGAACATACGAACGTACAATGAGAAAGATAGAAAATATTTGGGACAGACTCTCCTTCAAATATCTTTAATTTCAGCCCAGTTTTCTGAAATCACACTGCCCATACCTCTGACCCCAACAAACTAAATTATTTCAGGTGTTTATTCTTCATAACTCCACATTATAGAACCACAAACAGCCAACATGTGTGACTTCCACAGTGATGTCAGTTTCACGACTGTATAACTCCACATTATAGAACCACAAACAATCAACATGTGTAACTTCCACAGTGATGTCAGTTGCACGACTGCGTATTATTAATAAAATAAAGCATTTACAATTAAATTATTTTTTTGCAACATACAAGAAATAAAGTTATATTCTGTAGGAAATTCAAACTTGTTTTCACATAAACGTATAAGGCTATATAACCTTCATACAGTACAGCGATCTTCAACTAATGACAACGAAATCTACACGGTTAGTCTACAACAAAAGATTCTGTCTTCAAGAACTAAAGAATTTAAAAATTCCAAAGGACAGGCTGAAACTGTAAAATAATCAATAAGTGATGGGCTGCTTGTTATTTAAGCACATTTAAACAAATGTACAAATACATAATGTCAAGCACAGATAATCATCTTGCACGTAAAGACAATTATAAGCGCATACTGAACCATGATACCTGACTCAAAAATGTTGGATCCTCACAAATGGTACTGTCACCTTCAACTGCTATAGCTCCATCTTGGGATATAGAGGTTGGCAGGACTGTTACTAAAAAAAATAAACACACAGTAAAAATCAGTTTTAACAGTTGAAGATGCTGATATTCTGAGTTTTGACTTGTCAGTAGATGCCAACATTGGCACTTACAGAATAGTCTACATGGCATCAAAACCCAGAAGACCAACATAAAAATCCTCTCTGTTGGGAATACGTTTAGTCAAGATTTGTTTAAACAGGCATAATATAAAAAATAGCAACTGAGCCATGACCACAGTGAATGCAATAGAAACTTTAGAGGAGTTTTAAATCTGGTTCTGCTGATATATTTATAAACTGTTATTACTCATTTATAAACCTAACGTAACAAGAACTTACGTGAACAGTCAGGAAAGGGATCAATAATGCCGTCAGGAGCCAGCATGCTCCCATCACTGTCGTAAGTACAAAAGTAATCATGGGGTTGGACAGCAAAAGCATATCCCTCTTCACATGTCAAGGTACAGTGCAGAGAGTCAATATTTGATGTACAGTTCACATGCCCATTAATGGGATCCAATGGTTCTTGACACACATTCTCTGGAATTCAAAAAGCGAGATCAAAATATTACAAAAAACAAAATTTATTAAGCCAATGACATACTTTGAAGACTGCAGGACGTACACCAATTCACTTAACATTAACAACCTTGATGCTCTAAAATGTCACCAGATGGGAGCCAAAATAGTTCACTTGTTTAAAAACAAATGATGTATGCCCATACAGAACTTTTGTAATAATGCCGAGGAATTTATATAGATATGTATAAATATTAAATGGGTATTCTACATAGACAATCTGAAACAGTATCCCAAAAGTTAATTCCTACCTTCAACACTTATGCTGATAACACAGGTTGCATTATTTCCATATATATCCAAGGCAGTGTATGTAACTTCAGTTGTCCCATATGGAAACATGTCTGTATCTGGAGAGCGAGACACCTAAAAGTGATATGTAGGAAACAATAATGTACACACTTTATCAGTTATCTGTTTCTTTAAAGCAATATACCATTAATTTCTGTAACGAATGACATAATTACAGATGACAAAGGTGATGGAAGGGAGGAGCAGAAGAATAAACACTGACAAAAAGAGAATAAATAATCAAAATAAGTAAAGGATGACTCTTGAGAAACAGAAACAATTACATCCTATTTTGCGCGTAATTTTATCTGTAAAAATCACATCTCTTGATGCATGAAGATTTTATCTGCATTTAGTTAATTTCTGTCTAATGCCCAATATCAACATAAACGAAGAATACAACAGAAGCAGTATCAGCATTTTGCAACAAAGTATTATGTAAATACTCCTGAAAAAATCCAAGTCAATACAATATTTCAATGTGACGTAAGATATGAAATTATTCAATATCACCTTAACAGGTTTTCCAGAATTGTCATGGAAAAGTGGAGGATCCCAGAGTAGACTTGCATTATCCCCAGAATCTAAAAGGAAAGTTGGCGGAGATTCACAGCGATCAACAAATGGTGATTCTCTATCTGTGGAAACATAATCCAAAATAGTTACAAGAAAATGTTTCACAGCGATCAACAAATGGTGATTCTCTGTCTGTGGAAACAAAATCCAAAATAGTTACAAGAAAATGTTCATCCTTGATTATAAACAAGTATGTTACACAAATGCAACATTTATGGCATTACAAAATGCAAAATATTTTGCAATGATAATGCTAACATGTTATTGGTGATACTAGTGATAATGATACCATGATTATAAAGCATTGGAATTAATGTAAATCATGAGCATACAGTTTCTTATGTTGCAGGAAAATGAAGACCTCTTACCTTCAACTTTGATGGTAAAATTGCATTTGGCTTTATGGCGAGTGGCATCAGAAGCCACGTAGGTGATAGTTATGATGCCGATCTTAACTCTCATTGGCTGCCGAGCAGCCGGTCGAGTCCACACAGTTGGAGGATGGCCATCATTATCTGTAAATAAATTGCAGTTTAGCACGTCCAGAGGTAAATGTAGTTCTCGCCAGTGGATCTAGAACTACTCCGTTCTTACGCCACTATTAAGGCTGTACTGTAATTTCTTAACTAGAAATTTAAGTTTAATTTACCAGTACTTCATTTTTGCTAAACATCATTTAAATAAATATACCAGCACCAGAAATGCCATAACAGAATGCAATAGTATGCCATCGATAATATGTGCTTTTTTTCATGCCACGTAAAAGTATAATGAGAGACTGGAAATTTTCTAAATTGACTTCATAAGCACATTCGCTATGTTCAAAAACTATACAGTGCGACAACCCAGAACACAGTCATCTTCAAAGTTACATCTTTGTTCAGCGTAAGCAAATTCTGTAAACAGACTGAATGGAAGACAGTTGGATATTGTTCTATATGAGTTAAGACATTTCCTCTTAAAGAAATTAATAAGTCTGGTTTAAGGACTTGAAAAATATGTATATTAAGGTTTCTCCGGATTGCTAACATACCAGCCGCAACTGGGACTGTCCAGCTGACAGTTGCATAATCTTCATCAGGATCTGTCCCCATGACTATATCCTCCGGACACTGAATTGTTGGTGGCGTAACATCTGCGGAGCAATACACAAATAATTTAATACAAATGAGCAAAAAATGTCACCAAAGGTTACACATAACATAACAACATATCACATCACACTGTCTATCTGAATTTATTAAAACAAAGAAAGAACTTTTTAATTTAAAGACATAATGCAAACACACGCATAACAAAAAGATTAGAAATGAATACTCTTTGATGTACATAATAAAATTACCATTTAAATAGACCTATGTGTTCGCAAAGGGTATGTGTAAATAATACTATGTACAATAAGCCTTGCAGCTGGATTTGCAAATGAAATACATAACGTAATCACAATAACTACTGCTGCATAGATGCAATACAACTTACCTACACAAGTGTTAATATCTTGACCTGTCCACTTGCCCACTCCGCCGCAGACCCGAGACCTGGGGCCCTTCAGCTGGAACCCAGCTGTACACGAGATATTGCACCTGGTACCATAAACCTGCTTCTTAGTTGCACACCCAGCTGGTGTGTACTGGCCATGAGGGACTTTCGGCAGTGGAGGGCAAAATAGTGCTAAGGGACCACAATATGTACCTCATTAATCAAAATATAATTGAATGACAGATTACACATAACTAAAGTACTTTTCATTTAGGAAATTAAAAACCCCTTTTCATGGAGTCATAAAATATCTTTTAAATAGTGATTTAGATATGAAAAGTAATTTGAAGGTGAATCACAAATCAAATATATCAACCAGAACAGTTTGCTTTTCGTTATAAACACAGGTTAGTGTCTGATTTCATCCAAAGCTATTACAATACAAATATATAACTTAGTGATAAATTAAGACAGCTTGTCAACCTCAGATTTCAAAGCAGTTGGTCTCAACATAAACTAGAATCCATGTATAAGATACATTTCAATACAAATTTCTTATATTTAAAATATAAATGTATGAAACATCAATATACTGACAGCTAAGGAAGATCAATATTATATCATGCAGAACCCTTGCAGAATTGTTCTATCAAAAATCATCCATAATGGGGAAAGGGTTCATGACAGTCCACAGAAGAAATCAATTAACGGAACTAGTAAGAAGAAACTCACGTTTGCAGGTTGTGTGCAGACCATCCCACCGTGCAAGGGGCAAGCACGTCCGATGTCTAGAACCCACGAGGGTGTGACCAGGCATACAGGAGAACTCACATTCAGTGTCAATAACATGGTCATCATTGGAACAAACCACAGCACCATTTTTAGGTGCCTTGGGAGCCGGACAAGTCTTCACTGTCAACCAGTACATTCATGTAATGAAAACTTTTAAGAATACGTACCAAAAATTAAACAAAGTAACACATTCATACAGTGTACCTAGAGGAAACACTACTGCATCATTTAAATTGCTTGGAAATCATGTTAAATTTTACTCAAATGACACACACTTAAAATCAGACAACGCATTGTAATACAGGTCAGCAAAATAATGAAAAATAATCTAACCACTGGTGAGAGGCAGTAAGTGAATGTGCTTAAAATTCAATACTGAATGATGCCGAGTAGTAATGAATGATCCAAAATAAATTCCTAAAGTTTCTATTTATTCTTACCAGCACATTCAGTCTCCTGTCCAGACCATGTCCCATCATCTTGACAGAGGCGAATACTGGACCCGCACTCCACACGCGGCATTCAGCACATTCCCACATGACTTCTTCACGAAGAAGCCCTTCTCAGGAGCAGTCAGCTTTGGGCATGTGATCACTACAGCGGAACAACAGAATGTTAACTCCGAGCATCAGCGACGGTTTACGCGGCTAAGAGTTCAGTTATTTTCCATTGGTCATTTCAGAACCATTTCTATCAATGGTCACATCTCACTTAAAGAATTGATGCTACTAGAGACCATCACAAATTAATAGGACTCCACATTCTTACCTTTACATTGGTCACCAATGGAAACAAAGCTCTTCTTGCACTGACAATCCCGGACAGAACTTGCTGGTCCGAGTGTCATATGGTTTAGGTCAGGACAGGGCACACATACAGAGACATCTCCAGGAACTAATCCTAATGAGTATGTTCCATTTGGACAAACTGGAAACAAAAATAATACAGAGTTATTTAATTACGCAACAGATACGCATGCTATATCCGGATTTACTACTACTACTAATATTGAAAAAATTCTGGTATGAACTGATATTTTCTATGAAAATGAGTTTTATTTACATGGAGTTTATAAAGTATTTGTCAGTCTTGTATGAACATGCAACATCTCAATACAGCAAAATATTGCCGCAGATGTATCATAACCTAATGTGTACTCTTCACCACATATTATTAGGATAATCAAATCAATCAGGATGACTGGCTACAGACTGGACGACCGGAGTTCAATCCCCGATGTGGGAAGAGGATTTTTCCTCTAGCCTCTCCATCCAGTTCTGAGGCCCACCCAGCCTCCTATCCAATGAGTACCGGGGTCCTTTCCAGGGGGTAAAGCGTGCTGGGGAATGATGCTGATCACTCACCCCCCTCTAGTGTTGAGGAAAAGAATGAGTAGGACCTATACCTCCTCTCCCCCATGCGCCTCCATGGCGTATAGTGGGACAGCTTTACTTTACTTTACTTACTTTTATAAACATTTCAGTAGTTTAAATGCAGGTTCATTCCCAGTGTACCAGCATGTTATTAGTTGACTGATGGTTCTTCACTTTTAAAAAACTTTCCAGCAGGGTCACACTTACGATTCAAGATGAGTACCAAGTCAAACAGTTATGTCATCAAGTTTGCTACCCCTTCTTCATTAAACAGATTCTTCTAAGGGACTTACGTTTGCAAGAACTAGCGAGTCCAGAACCATAGTACCCAGGGGGGCACAGGCAAGAGAAGTGTCCTGTATGAGTCCCACAACTGCAAGAGGCCAATTTGTCGCAGCAGTCCGATCTGGCAGAGCACAGTGAGTCACAGAATGAAAAGTTGTTCAAGGGCTGATAACTGCCAGCCTTAAGATCTATAAATAAAATCAGATAGATACAGCTCAATAATGACTTTTGCAGTCATTCTGGAAAAAGGTACTTATTTCTGATATACTCTGTGCAACTAAAACCCATGCAGATGTAAATAATTTATTCAAGTGCAAGCCAAGCAAAAACTAATTACAGCCAAGTACTAAAACAACAATATAAAAATTAATATAACATACAAATGACAAAAAATAATAAAATAAAAGACAAAATAAACATGATAAAATGTACAATTTGAAATGCACAGACTACAAACATAGAAACGTAAAGAAAATCCAAGTAATGCGATATTATAAAATGTCCATTAGCAAAATATAGTCTTGTTAAAAAGTGTCAATGTCCTTGCAAACAGCACAGGTAGCAAAAAAATACCTGACAGAGTGACCCTTAAATTGTGATTAACCATAAATGTAGAGTTGTCTCTATCCTAGTAAGTATTCGTTAACTGATACAAACAAATGTGGAAGAACCGTTTGACCTTGATTACATCTTATGTGTGGACAAGAACACCATGCCTTATCCTAGCATATGGCAAAACTGTCAATCCCAGAATTAGTCTAAGGCTGGCAGTCCAATAACATGGGAATTTAAACCCCCTATTCCTACATAGTAAATGTTAAAATGAATGGTTTCTGACACTTTCTCTGGTGAACCACCGAGAAAATATTGACATGCATAAACAACAGCTATAATGAATTTATAAACACTCAGTACCAACTTTTCCTTTACACTTTCCCCATGAAGCATATTTATTCTACCAAATACTCTCCAACAAACCAGAATACACACAAAGTTTGACAGGTGTGTAGTTATGCAAATGGAAATTGAAAAATTATATATATGACTTATTCCAGCATTTACCTGTAATTTACATCACTTCAAGAAAATATCTAGCTGCTAGAAATTCATATTTTAAAGAAAATATAACCAGCACCTTGATGTAATGCTCTCCTAACTAAGGCTTCAAATTCTCCAAAACTGTCTAGGATATATGAATATTCTTCTCCAGGTTGTGATGCCATGTCATAGAGCTCTTTTGTGTTACCATTACGTATCCCAAATGTAAATATGGTAACACCTTGCTCCTTAAGTTCACGTGCTACTGGCAAAGGATCACCTCCATTTGAGAAGCCATCAGTAATGAGGAAAAGGGCACGTCGTGAATCTCGACGGCCATGCTGCAGCACAGCCTATAATTAATACAGAAGAACTTATTTAAGAAAGGGTCAATGTATGGCATCATAAACTTAAGCTCATTAAGTGTCTATCACAAGTCCCAGCCGTCACAGTGGCCGCGCGGTCTGAGGTGTGGGCCTTGTGCTGCTTGGACACTGTGACCGTGGGTTCGAATCCCACTCAAGGCATGGATGTTTGTCCGCATCTCTCTGTGTTGTGCTGTCCTGTGTACAGGTAGAGGCCTTGCGACGGGCTGATCACTCATCCAAGGAATCCTACCAACTGTCTAGTAGATCAAAGTCAACGAAAGTTGGGACCCACAGATGCTCAGGCACTGAAGAACGGGTCGCCTAAGTAAGTACTAAGTATCACAAGTCTCAACAAATCTCCCCAATCGTTGCTAGTAAATACTTGCAACTCCTGACCTTGAAATATCAAAGCAAACTTATCTTCCTACAGACTAACACACTAGCACTCTTTCATACTTTTTGCAAATAAAACAAGCACAGTGCTATACTCAGTCCAAAAATCTGAGCACAAACTCACCTGAGCTTCAAGTAAAGCTCCTCTGGTATATGTCCCACCACCAGTGTACTTAATATTTGGTAGTTCATAATGCAAGAGGCCACATTTGTGATTTGTACGCGAAGGGGAAGTGATATGATCGATGTAACGTACCTGGAAGAGTTAAATATATATTAAAGTATTCAATATTATTTATTTTCATAAATGTTTCTTCCACATATAATCAAACCCTGGTACAATGCCCTTCTATATAATTCCATTCTTGTACAGCACTTACAAAAGTCCAGGAATATAAATTGCCAATATAATTTCAAAAGGAATTCTCCAGTAAAATGCCACACAAAGTAGCCACCATCACGACAGAATGATCAACGAACAATGAATTATAAGGGATATGGAATAAAATGGACATAACCTAATTTGTGGTACTATACTGATATTTCCCTCGAAGTAATGAGGAATATAAAATCCTCAGTGAGGATGGTTGGTCTCTAAGCCAAGACTTTAACCCAGACACCCAAAATGTGAAACAGGAATGCTAAATACTCTGCTGCAACACAGATTCTTTTCAAGAACTATCTTGAAGATTTATACAGGCACTGATGTCCAATTCTGCAAATCATGACATCAGAAAATGAGGACTGCATTACAAGCCATACAAAGAAACCTATGATGTGATACTATTAATTCTTTCTCAAATACACAATATATATTCGAAGAACATGTTAATTTCTGTCACTATAAAGTTAAAATCATTGTAGACTGTAAGTTTTATGTATAACTCTGGAAACTATAAACATTACCACATTGTCAGGGGATGAATATGCAATCACAGACACATGTGTAGCATTCTCCGATACGGTAAAATCTGCAAGCAGCTTCCGAACAAACTTCAGCTCGCTCTCAAAATTATCTTGACCCACGCTGGCAGAAGAATCCACAAGAAACACTAGCTCAACCTGATAAACAGGGTTTTATAAATTAATATTTACACAGCACAAGATATTAAAAATATCATATCTTCCTTAACAACCGGCCACCAGCCTAAGACTTAAATATGGGCTGTTATATGCCACTTTTAAAGTGAACATGTGTCATGATATTAATCTTATTTAGCCAATAAATTTGAATTAGGCATACCTGCAAAACTGTTTACAAAATAATAACAAAACCATTACACCTTTTACAGAGTTTCATGAAGTAGTATTAATTTTTAATTACTAAATATACTTCTATAACCAAGCATTATAACATTTCTTTAGCAACATACGATTCAAAGTACAAGAGTACGACACAGTAACTCACCTGCTTATTATCTGCTGCTCTGAGGCTGTTTACATGTTTCTTAAATACTTCTCCTAGCACTTCTACTTTTGATTTTAAAATAGAGTTCTCCAGTTTTGAACCCGTTTCTTTGAGCCTTTTTCTGCTTCTATGTCCAGCATTGTAAAATAACTCATTGCCACTAGACTCAAATTCATAAAAGTCTGTTGTTTTTGTCACATCCGTGAACGCACAGTGTATAAGTACAAGCCGGTTACAGAGAACCCAGATGAACGCATAACACAGAAGCAAGTAACTTTGCATTTTAACAAACACAAATATTATATCCACTAAATTCAAACTTTCATATTGTTTTATACATAAAATTAATGCCTCAGATAAGTACCATAATTTTGCCACAGTTCTTATTAGCATACTCTAATAATTATAATTTCAGTTTATTTTCCATGTAAGATTCAACACGACACAGAGCATTCCATACCATCAGCATGTACAAGTTGTCCTCTCCCACAGAAGCCTCAAGTTCACTGCCACCATAAAGACATTAATGACACACGACTATAAAATGACACAAGTACAGTCAAGACAGGATTTCGATACACGAAACAATAATTTATTCTGATTAAAATATTAAACATGTAGTAATAAACATTTTTCCAACACATAAATCATAAGAATATATATTATGCATCAATATTCTCGAGATATTTTTAAATATGGTGGAGAAGACATTAAGAATAATGTTTCCTCCTTTGCTTCTCCATATCTGAAGAGATTGGGGCAACAGTATAACTTTTCAAAAACAGAATGATAAAGTATGTTCAGCTTCCTGTAATTTCAATAAGATTGCAAAAAATAATAAGGTTTCAAAATAAGTAATTTCAATGGATTAATACATTTACTGCAAACAAATGGTTTCTATGATTAATACTTATAAGAACTATAAAACATTAGTAATAACAGAAGTAGTGCCTGTCAACAATACAAAGGTTATAAAATCAGTATAACAAAGCAACAATAAGTATCACTCACAGCATTTGTTCCAGGAAGTCCTTACATCATGAATAAAATAGTAGACATATCTAACAGCGATGCAACTATTTTGTTCAGTACAGACTACATTACTCTATTTTTGGTTTTGTTGAAAATGAAGTAGCTTATTTTGACACGCCATGTGTGTTCCTACTTTTCAGTACATAAAAAGTACAGACAGCTGCACTGGATAACCGATTTCTGGGCAAAAGTGATCTATAATGATTACCATTTTTCCTCTCTCTCTTTAATTATTCTTATTCATTCCTAGCTGCTTTAACTTTATCATATTTACAGTATATTACTTATTTCATACAATGAATTTTTCATTTGCCACATTATTTTATGTCAGCTGTAAATGAAAAAGTTTCCTTTGTCCCATCAAATTTTCAATGGGGGCAGAAAAACGGTTACAATTTTTTTTAAGTAAACATGTAATTTTTAGAAAGTGATGCACAAGAACTAAATATTTCTTGGTCCTGATAACTTCATTACACAAATTTTTCATTCTGTAGCATGAACTCAACAAATCGATGTGAGATTCACAATAATTTTGAATAAGGCGGTAAAGAGAAAAAAATGTTGATGCTTCTTAAGGAGTTCATTTTGCTCATAATAAATTTGTAAAGTTCAATTTACTTATACATTTTCACTTGAGATATAGTCATTCCTTTCTCTTCATTGCTGTCATTAGATCATTCATGCACTCATATGACATCCACGGAGACTACAGCCAGCAGCTGCTGCCATCAATCACTGCTACATTTCTAAACTCAACAGTTTTGTTTGGAATAGGGGCTACAAAACATCCAGTCTTATAGCCACATCTGGCAACATATGGTAGTACAGTAATATCATCATATATGAACTTATCAGATGTGGAAAGGAAAAGTGCAACATTTCAACCTAAAATTACTTAGAACATAAACGTGCCAAACACTTTTTGGATGTTGTAAATTAAAATATTTATCTCACAATTAAATGCCTAGCTTAAATAATGTTGAAATACATTTCAGTTCAAAAATGTTTATAATATATAATGTTTCAAGTGGTCTTTCTATTGGGAAATAGGTTATGTAAAGTGAATTGGCATATATCAATAGTCACAACAAAACAATAAAATTATTAATTAAATAAATTCACTCACTAATTACTTGGAAAACAGTCACTATCCCAAATCATTTGAACCCTGTACAAATCACTGTAAACAGTTTCATCTCCTTGTCAGAATCTGCTAAATTCTGAAGTTTGAAAGCTTAAAATGTCTGTTTTTATGTAAATTAACATACAAATAAAATCACCTAAAATTGTATGACTGGCACTGACATCAAACCAGTCTTGGCCTATGTTCCAATCTGCAAACACATAACCTCACAAAGAAAATATTCAACTTCAGTAATAATTAATACACATATTTGTTTAGAATTATATATAGGTTTTCTAAATAAAATATTAAAACATCCCCTCTCTATATATAAACACAACCCTACCTACTTGTGCCATAAGTATTTTCAGGTTATATCAGGAGAGACCTAATAGAATGGAACATTGGATATACTACACTAGATCAATGTTTGTGTGTACACATAGTCTTACATAATTACATAATAAACATGGTACTTCAAAGGTTAGATTGAACACGTAGTAGAACATCTATTTATACACAGCATGACCTTTAGCATTTGCTTCCTCCTTTACGAATCAGCTGACAGTTAAATTATAAACTTAGGGCAAACATTCTATATCACAACAGTAGTTAAGTGATATCAAGAAACAACAACTGGCTTTAGTGAGTGAATACCAAACAGCTGAGCAGTTATCTAAATCATTAAAAAAAATCTCTGAATTAAGGTACAAACCCATTGAAATAATTTAATTTAAAACTAGACATTCAAGTTACTTAAATCACTTGTGTATAATGTCTATTCTGTGAAAGCTGTGAAGAGTAGCAAACAGAAGGGATGTTTTAAAATTGTCATAGGTTATTATAAATTATAAAGAAGTAATGTATAAAAGTCAACATCTTTGCAAATAAAATTAAAAACATGGTAAAAATATCTTGCTTCTGTGACAAACAGTTCTTAAGACACATGTACTTAGGAAAAATCACACAATTGAAACTAAAACATCTAGGAGGTTATGTATGAAAAAAATATATAAAATAGTATTATAAAGATATTACTGACTACCAAAAATTCAAAACTGATACCTTGAACAAATCTTCTGAACATTACAGTGAGCACAGTATGTTAAGTAAAGAATAAAAAATTTTCTTCTCTTCCCCAGCAAAATGTCTTTGTTGGCATTATTAATTTTCACTTTGCCATTGATGCACATTGGACATTCATCAGACCAATGTCCACTATTGCCTCAATGGACTATCAATGATAATGAAGTTCTGCAGAAAGGAAACATTACAGTGATTGGTATAGTCAACTCCTCCTGACATTACTGTTTCAAGCAGGCTGGAATGTAAGTAAAGTTTAATTTCTGTAACCATTTCATTACTTTATTATTTCATCATCAGCCACTCCCTCATTAAGTCTAGAAATTTGTATTTCTATATGCTATAAATCAGAAGATAATACAAAAAATGTATTCTATTTCCATACAGCAGTTCCTTGTAAGTAGCTGATGGTTGCTCAGCTGAACCTGTAGATTCATTATTGAGCCTACCAATGGACTCTATCCTCAGCCAAACAAATGCAGTCCATGTTCTATTTCTTTTAAAGATCCCTTGTAATATTATCCCTCTGTGTGTCCAAAATTTTCTGTGTATTTTTTCCCCCAGCCCATGCATGTTACATGTCATGTCCATCCCATCCTCCTTCATTTAACCACACTAAAAATGTGTTGAGGAATACAAATTATGAAACTAATTACCAAGCTGCAAGGAATATATGCTTTTTGTCAGATATCATATGAAAACTTATATTTTCAGGATGCAAGATCTTCAAGTCCGCTTAATTTCTGCTGGATTCACAAATATTGCTTTCCGTATTATTAACTCAAAACTGGCTGTCGATGGAACTGATGGATTTGCTACGCTAAAACACAAGTCAGGGGATATTCCAGTGTTACAGGAGCCAAAAGACATCACCTCTAGCATTTGGCAATCCATACTGGATGGAGGAATTGATCACATACTTGTATTGGACAGGTACAAAACTACTTTTACCTGCCAACCAAAGGCATCCGAACAACTCTGAAGCAATTATAGGATAAATTTCTGAATTATTTCACAAACATTTATAGTACTATTTGAAGTTCTCGTGCTTGCTCAGCTTAATAACAGGATGTATACAAAAAATGTGGTAACTGAGGAAGGAGAAAAAGAAAAATAAGAATTTTGATGGAGAAATTGAACCAGTCTATCTTGAACACTGTTACAGGTGTGGACGACTTGTGTACCAAGTTATTTCACCATGGAGTCTGCTATCCTATCCATATGTCAAGGCAGCCATCTTGTCAACATACAATGACGATCCATGTGGTCCTTGCAATCTTCTTGTCACAGTAAGTAAAACAATAAAAAAGTATTTATAAATGAAGGTATAACTCATGTTCACTATAATGTAAACAAAAGCCCCCCCCCCCACTTTCTTTATTAGTAGACATCAAATTCTAAAATCTTATGTGTAAAGATTAATGCATGTGGTTCACAAAACACTTTCACCAAGCAGAACTTTAAAATAACTTTTAGACAAATTCTGATAGTGGAATTTGTTCCACACGAGATGTAATGTCATGATTCAGTTCCTCTGTAGGTAGACAATACAATTTCCTCCACTACAAATGTACAAATTATGCTGTCATGGCTTGGTCACCAGAGAATTGTTTGTAAAAAAAAAAGCAGTGCCCCAGTTGAGGTTAAGTTGGCACTAAGGTTTTATTTCATGCATCTCTGACATTTTATAGAAAATCTGTCACTAACACAAAAATCCAAGCCATCCTTCAAAACAGTGAATATTTCTGAATCTGTGGCAGTTTATGTTTTTACAGTTTTACATTTTGTGTTACCAGTGTCAGATAAAAGGGAAATTTTCTGACCATTTTAGAATTCAAGACAAAGAATCTTATTCATCTTATCATTTAATGTGACCACTGACTCAAGAGGTTACAGAGATTAATTTTCTGTTCTAAATTACCAACAATAACTTATATTTGTTTCTACAGGAACAAACAAGAAATAATACTGACACAAGCATGGAAGATAAAACAATTCCAAGAGCTGAACTGAGCAGTAGCATAACTCTTACCAAGGAAAGAGGAACAACTATTGCCAATAATACTAAATTAATTTTTACAAACAATGAAACTGCGACAACTTTCATTAAAATGGAATCAGAAATAACCCTTAACAACACAAGGAATGAAGAAAGTGGTGTATGGACTGTGATGGAACAAACATTAAATAAAACAAAATCTACAGCTGAGAAAACTTCAGTAACACGACACTGTAACGTGACCCAACAAAATCAATCTGACCTGCAGGTAAGGCAGAAGCTTTTCGCAGCTGATGCCCAGGACAGACACAATACATCAAACACAAGGAAAAGCAACATGACAGGCTCTCAAAGGAATAGTTTACTTAAAGATGGTAAATTAGTCCAGCAGACAGAATCAGAACAGCTACAAAATATCTCTGTTCCAGTAGATTCATATCAAAAGAGTCGAGAAAAATATTATGATACAGACCAAGCCGATGCAATACTCAAAGACAACTATTTCAGTGCTACCTTATCACCTTTGATTGAAAGAAAAGATGGCACTGTACCCATTAGGATTATCCTGCATTACCCACATGAACACCGCCATGAAAACGGAACAGTTTCAGAGCACGAGTATATTGTACTACAAACAGGTAACCCTGCCTATCACGGACACTTAGAGGAGACAGTAATTCCAGAACAGGAAACACCCAACAAGGATGAGAAGGGACTTGATTATGCTGATGATGATAAGCACACGCCAACAAGGAAACGGAAGGGAAAGAATAACTATGGTAAAATAAAAGCATCTATTACTGGAGAAATTAGAGACATTACTAAAAACACTGAAGAGGAAATTGCAGAAAACATACATCAGCATCAGCACAAAGGATGGAAGAAACAAAAGAGTGAACAAGCTAATGGAGAAGAAACATCAGAAGAAATATCTCAAGATATCAGGAAACATGGTAATCACCACGATAACACTAAATCTTCAGACAATGTTATACACTTTCACAGGGGTAAGGGTAGAAATTTCCACAACCCAGGACATCATAAAAAACATAAATTAATTGAAATTATAGCTGCTGACAGCACCAATGGGACGGCATCAAAATATGGGACAACAAAGGCCAACGGAAATAAGCAATCACACGTATCATCCACAGAAGGCAGGAATGAGACCAACGTAGAAGTCATAAAGAGTACCAACCGAAAAAACAGCAGTGTTGAAAGTATTAAGAAAGAGGACACACACAGAAGGAGGCATGGTAGTAAAAAAATTAGGTATGAACATCACAGGGCATCAGTGACTGAAAAATTAAATGCTAATCAGAATTCAAACACAAACACACAAAACGACTCCTCAGCACAGCAGCTGTTAATACCACTGTCTATCGTATGGCAAAATGCCCACAGACCTACAGGTAAGAACAATGCGGATAATAATTTTAACGAAGATGACGACTCAAATGAAAGTAAGTCAGATGCTTTCATGCCAAAACAGAATGACACCTTCAAAACGGAAGACCTGCAAAAGTTAACAACGAACACAAATGACTGTACAGAAACCAATGTGGATCAGGCAAATGTGAATGAACAAGAAATACAAAGTCATAGTTCTCATAACAAAGTAGGTGATATCAGGAAACCAACTACAGGAAACATGACAGATGAAATAACCTCATCTTCAAGAGAGGACAATGATGATAGTGAAATACAAGGTGATGATATTATTAAGCATTACAGTAAGTTATTAAAATGGATAGATTACCCATTATAATTTCATCTCTGTTGAAACTTTCAGGCCTTCTATTATGCATAACATTATGAAATATCATGAATATATGTACACATTTTTGTATATTTAATGTTACTGAAATATTTGAAATCTTGTTTCAATTATGAAGAACCTGTCATAAAACATTTAGCCATAATGTTGGACGGGATTGGATGCATCTCAGAAACAAGAAACAAACATTTCAATATCTGCATTAAATATTTTCATGTTAATAAATTGTGTATAATAAAGATTACAAATTGTAATAAAGATGTAATATAAAAGTTACAGAATATCTGATCTGATAAGAAATTGACAAATCACATACTCTGATATCATTTCCTTGGTTGACAGACTAACATGTTCGACATCTCCTCAACCACATTGGTTATTCGTGAATGTCAGCACCTTAAAAAATAAATTTTAAAAACTTATAAGCAAAATAACCTGAATTTTGATGATGTGATTTCCTCTACGTCAGACACAATAGTTTTACCACCACGATTTATTCACAAAAGTCTAATGCATAAAAACAGTAGAGCTGGAATTATCACTTTCTTTGCTATCCAAAATTAATTTTGATTTAAAATTTTCCCCAAATTAACTGTAGTAATTAGAATGTTTGTGACCACCTGACACGGCTGATTGCCCAAGAAGACTTCGCTGAGACCCTACCATATTATACAGACAAAGAATAATTTTATGATGTACAGTAAAGATGATGGGGAGGGTGTCAGCATGCAAATGAGAAGGAGATTATTAAACAATGAAGACGGTGCACATATTAGGTGGGGGACAAAAATGCGAGAAGAGAAAATTTCAGTCCCCCTCACCCCCAAATCAATTTACCATCAGAAAATAAACAAACTTATGTCTTACATTGTTTAACAGTGTATTATATCAAGAAGCATAAATGTCAACAGCTTCTTAAACACTTTTAAATTTAATACTCCTCTGAAACACACAAAGAAAGATAAATTACACCAATCTCACTTACCTAATTAGGAACTGAGATCATCTGAGTCAAGAGATTCTTCATCGTCTGTGTCTCCATCAGACGAGTCTTCTTCTTGTGCTGGTAATGGAACTGCCATTAATCTTTCTTCAGAAGAACTAAAAGGGGAAAAAATAAGAGTATAGTAGCGACCAACAGTGTACTCAATCCTTTTAATATTAAATGAAGGTTTATCATTTATATTTTTCTTGGATCTCTTTGATAAAATTCATTATATAGGCCATACTACTGGAGATTATCATGCAGATATGTTCTGAAAAATCCTCTCGCCTGCACCATCACATGACGACGACATAAACACCTTAAACTGAACTAGTATCACTACGGTTACATTAGAGTTTTGAAATGCCACACGAAATGGAGGAATGAAAATGTATTTTTATTATAAACAAAATATAATAAAATTCTGGCCATAGAAGTAAATATCATCCTTGATTTTCATGAAGTTGTAATGCAAAGTTATTTTTGTGGAAACGTGCTTCTTCAAATTACACTCTGACAACTTATTGTATGTAAATATGACTACACATATCATATGAAACAACTTTCATATACAGAAGATTATCAACATTGTAAAATAGAAACATTTAACATTTAACCATAATCAGGATCATACGGTGAAATCTAGACTAACGTCTAGTTATCATACCAATTTTCTTCAGACAGCTGAAGTGATGATAAAGTTTTATTCAGCATTTGCATCTTCTTTTCCTCTTTTTCTTCTCTTTGCACCATTTCAGCAGCTAGTTCCAGCTCAACAATATCCAACATTAAATCCTGTTTCTTGGGCACACTCTTCATAAAATAAAATAAAAACAAATAAACACTCATTCCAAAAATGTTTAATAAAGGTGCTATATATGGAATGTAAAGCTACAAAATGTGCACTATTTCAGCCTTATGTTTTAAATATGACATAACGTTTGGATTTCTATTATAAAAATATTTATTGAAGACACGTGACTTTCATCATTTCAATAAGGCACTTAACATGAAAAACCACTACTAAGAAAATGTATTATCTGTCTATGTAAGTCCAATAATAATGATGTAATGATCAAGGATCATGAAGTTGAAATTATGTACCAGAATTGCCAGACACTATGTTTACAGCAAATTATGTGGGCATGTACATTCTGACTAGTACTTCACACAAACATGTACACAATTTATCTTTACACTTTACATAAATTTATGTTAGCAAAAACAACAAAAAACAAACCATGTCAATCTCTTCAGCCATGGCAACAAAGCGTTCGTCATCTGCTTCTTGGATCCAAACACAGTAATCTTCTATATATAATCTGTTCAAGAGGTATCTTGGGTTGCTCTTATTGAAAAGCTGATGGATATCAAGAAGGCACTTCAATAGCTTTCTTTTACCTAAAAAAAGTTTTACATATCAGGATTATATTTTTCTTGTAACTAACAGCTTAAACCCTTTCTTCATCATATCAAGTGGTGGTCATCGCTTAGATTAAACTCTAAATACAAGAGCTTAAAATTGGATGAACAATCTTGTGTATTCAAGCTCTTTACAATACAATCTCAATATATGCAAGTGAGTGTGCAAATTTAACTGTTTCCTTTTTAAGTTTTTATCATTTTCATTTTGAGTATATTGCTATTATAAATATTTTTGGGCAACCAGCCGCATCAATTCAGAGATAGGGCCCAACATTTCAGAGACCATCAGTCTGACGATACATGAGTGAATATGGAACAGCAGTGGAATGACAATGACGGAAATATGAAGGATTCAGAGAGAAACCTGTCTAACAAATTCCACATGGACCTCACTGGTGGCAAACCTGGGCCTCTGTAGTAACAAGTCAGCAACTGCCCACCTGTACTGTAGCACTCCCTTTGCTGGTTTTTTGGTTGGTTATAAGTTATAAAATACGTCATTCGACACTGGTTTTATTGTAATATTTTATTACAACAGAAGTCATAATTCAACTTACCAAGCCGCAGGAGAATCTGCACATCCCTTAAAATCTTAACTGACAAATCATAGTTTCGGAACAGGGGGTAGCAAAGGCTGCGACGCACAAACGCAAGAAGCACATCTTTCACTGAGGAATACACCTGGAAGTAAAATGCCAATTATTTTCCACCAATCACAGTAACACACAAGACGTAAAAGAGTGAGTCGCTGCTATTAAGCCCTTTCCATGTTTTCTTGAATTAACCTGGGTTTAAAATGTTGTCCCAGATATAAGATATAATGTTTTCGACAACAGTCAGAATGATGGCATCGTTCTTCTGGATTCTGACACTGATGAGTCTGCATGGCGTCAAAATCCAGAGAAACATACTTGGTGAAGAAAAATGTTCTGAAGAATTCCATGATCAGCAATTACAAACAATGTAGAGTAAATTTAAAATAAAAATCCATCAAATTACTTCTGACATTGTAAATTACATTCTATAGTTAATAATGGTAAATTATGTTAGGCTATTCAGGATAAAATACTCTATAACATTTAGACTAATTTGTAACTTTACAGGCACTACATTAAATTACCCTACTATTTTCTCTGATACAATAAAAGAACAATACAATTCAAAATGTTTTTCAAAACTAATGGACCCCTACACCAAGTTATTACCTCAAACCAACTCAGTGTGGCACTTAGTTTGTTAATTGTCCACGCAGATTCTGAAGTTGGATCTCCTTCAGTTGTTCTATAGTCATAACAATATGCTGCAATTATGTCTAAGAGCCCAAAATACGCAGCCTGCTGTTCACTACGAGTCAGGATATATTTATGAACTGGAATGTCCTTCAGTCTCTCAATATCTCCAACACACAATGTGGCTGTAAACAACACAACACTTTAGACAATCTCATTTATTATTACACTTTATTTCAATCCAAATAGATAGGCTGATTCAAAAAGTATAAAAATTATCTAAGGATATCTACAATCTCCAGAACAAAAGGTTATTTAAAGTTTTGAAAAGTAATGGTCTCATAAATCTGTCAACTTTTGTACAGAAGAGTATGTACGTATATTTAAGTCTGTATGTTTACAAAATGGAAAATCTGTGTACAGAACTCTTGTTCACACACATGCAGTCACTTTTTTATTAAGTCTCTTTCTTCTCATTTAATTTTCCTTTTTAAATATATTATGTTTATTATAACCTAGTTCTTATTTTTTAAGTCTAATATACATTAAATTGCTCATTTACATTCCTCTATCTTTAAGTGCCTTCTCTGGAACACAGCAATCATGTTCGTCAGAAACTACTTTCATACAGAACAAAAGACACACAAACTTACCAGGTGTACCCATTGTCTGATCCTTCTCCCAAATTGTGTTAAACTTTATCACTGCATCAATATGACTTCTGTATACAAGGTCACCTAGATAATGTTCATCGCTGAAATCATTTACTTCACATTCTAGCCTCAGCTGAGTACGTGACGAGTCCGGTGTTACATCCGGATCAGGAAGATCAAGAATTTCCAGCACCTCATACTGTGACAAAATACGTAAACTCGCATATACATGCGGCATCTATCGCTCTAACTACAAGATTTAAGATCAAATTCAATTATTTATGTTTATTCCAGCTCGAATGCAGCATAAATAGTTTAAAACAGATACAAAATGTACCAAAGGTTAAGGACATCAAATGATTCTTAGCCAAGCTAACACTACTGAATAGTGTATAACTTTGCTAACATTTGTAATGAGAATTATATAGTATGGCTGTTCCATTTCTATAATCCCACAGTTCAACAAAACCCAAAAGGCATAATTCATTCAAGAATTCACATGTGCACATGTTATAAAAAATGACTTGGATATACTTTTCACAAAACTTACTGAAAATCCTTTAAAAACATCTGAAAATTGGTTTCCAAATCCATACTTTGATTTAGTTATCAGAACTTCAAAAGATGCTTTTTCCTCAGGTACAGTCTGTTCAATAAGACATTCCACTTCACTTAATTCATCCTGACTGTAGTGTGAATCATCAGTGCTTCCATCTTCCTCTTGGCTATCTACAGGGGGAGAAAAAGAAACCCAACTTAACTGTACCAAATGTAACAATAATTCAAGTGACCAGTTGATTCAACACTAATGAACACACTTTGACACCTTGCATAAAATCAACTGGTAAGAGAATATGAAGGAAGACAAATGTGAATCAACAATGAATAAAAGCAAGATATGACCAGAATGTAGTTCACATTACAATCTGAATGTAAACAGAGCAATGTCTAATAACATACACTAACGTAATCAGTCTTACCTAAGACCCTAATATTTGGTTTTGATGGGAAATTATTTGATTTCTTCACTAAGAGGGTAGATATCAGGTCCAGATTTGGAAAATGTTCTCCTCTGTTCACTTTCTCCATAGTTAAAGTAAATTTTCCATCATCAGCATCATACATTCCATTTGAAGCTCCCATTTCTGTAACTTCACCTGGCAACTGCAACCTATGAAAACACATATTTGATTTCAACAAAACTACTGATTCACTAATTACATCATTGATTTATTCATGGCTTTTTAACAATTTTGTTTCAAATGCAGCTATGATGGGATGTGAACATGATCAGAAATGTTGAAAAAGACTTTTATAGACCCTTTGCCAACTCACAGGCTGCAAAGAAGCCTGTGTATTAAAACACCATGCTGTTAGGGGAAATATTGAATAGGGAATGTATCCTATATACAGTAAAGAGGATCAAGTCACATTCTGAGATGTGACAGAACTAGGATTTGCACAGACGGGTTGGTTAGATTTACAAGTATTGATCCAGAAAGTGGGATTAGAAGGAATTCACATAAAGTATGCAGATACTGTGTACACATTAGTATTTTTCTAGGGAATAATGAACATACCTCAAATAATATGGTGGTGAAACAAATCTAAAATCATTCTTTTCAATATAAATGTCTGTTTCAGAGATGTTAGTGTAAGGCGCATAAATAGTTATGCACACCTTTGTTTCCGTCTGAGTTAACTCAAATTTTGGAGTTAACATCTCAATTCCACCTGAAAATAAAAACGTATATGAACACACAGCATTATACATCATGTGCAAATCTGTAATCCAAACTTATACACCACTGTGATTTACAAAACTTAATATAACAAATCAACTGCAATTATGTTACTATTACGAAGAATCAAATCAGTGGAGTGGACCGAATTTCAACTAAGAGCCCCATAAACTCAACACTAAAATGTAATTAAAATACACCAAATTTCGTCTTGGTGTTTATTATTTAGTACTGGCATTCATAAGCCTCATCCTTTATATTACTTTTATTAACTACAGGTTTTCACTTATTGACACACTCCAAAATACATTGTTTTTCTGATGTTCAAACATAACCTTACTTCTCACTATACTTACCTGAGATGAGTGATATGAAGAAATAACGAGAACACACGCTGGAAGTGATCGATTGACCTTGTATATATCACACTAAATTGTTCGATATTTAAGAAATAACATCATTACTAACACATTTTTGCAAAAATGTATAACCTGTACTTTAGTAACTTAAGTATCAAAAGTATAAGTATATTTTACCCCTGAAACGATTAACAGTTCTTCCTTCTTATTATCAGACGATCGCTATACATAAATTCATAATACGTTATTTATATTAAAAAAACTATTCAAACGACAAGCGCACACAGGCGACTTTCTTGCTATCTTGATGGGACGTGTTTGTTTTATTGGGAAGCGTTACGTCTTCGCCGGGGCATTGCGATAGGCCCCCCCGGTGGTTGGTGGTGTCTAAGAATCAGTGCCTAGCTGCCTTCGCACAAGAGCGGCGAAACAACCATCCATCGTCCTCTGTCCGACCCTTGAGATAAGTTCACAGCTTAATAGGGAGAATGCCGGTAATGCATAAAAAGATAACTGAGAACAGTAACAATAAAACGTGAGAGAAAGTTTGTGAAGGGGCAGTATTTTCAGGGTATTTTATATAATTTTAAGTAATTTAATGACAAAATAAAATGCAAGACAATGAGTTAATCTTAACAAGTTTTGCTACAATTAATGTGTTCTTGTTGTTATTTAGGCTCTTTTAGCACTGCAAAAGTATTTTCTCTTGTAATAAGCCATTTTTAAACTTTTCATATTTCCAAGCAACATAATCATGAGGCAAAATATTCTCTCTCAGCTGTTTCTCTAACAGTAGTCCTGCAACTGGTTCTAGGACACTGAACATTCTCAAGAGACATGGTACTACTACTTTTCTATACTTGTCACCTTCTGATGGCATTTCCATGTTATCGTTATTATTACCATCTGCTCCTGAATTATTTTAACATTAGATGCTGTGTGGTTGTATTGTCTTCAGCTTCATAACAGGAAATGGAAATAAGTATGCTTAAAAAGCTACAATTAAAGATTAACAGACACATACTTGATGTGATTATTATTTTTATGTAGTTATAAAAAAGATTGTATAGAAAAAATTTAAACATAACTTTTTCTTACCTTTGAGTTACTGCCATTCTTATGGTGGCCTCATTATGGTATTTTGATTCATAATATTTGGTTCAATCACGGTCTAATCATGAAAACTGTTGTTACTCATTCTAAAGTGTCCATAGAATGTTGGATTTGTACAAAGTCTTCATATAACTTGTGAAAATGTCCTTTCAGTATTCTTCAGTACTTCTAGTAATTAACAGCATATTTGGGAAAAGCTAAAACTATGCTACGCTTAAAATTTATTTATTATTCAATTAATATACACCAATTTCACACACAGTTTATTATCTACGTACAAGAATATACACTTAGTTATTTTCAACATATAAAAATATATATACAAATACATAAGTTTATGCAAAATTTACAATAAAGACATGATAAATCATTTTTCAGTAATATAAATTCATCAACAGAGTAGAAGTTCTGAGTCAAAAGGCATTCTTGTAGCACTTCATATTGTTCAATCTTCTTTGACATTTCATTTTGAGGAGGAACTGTACACAGTAGACTCCTTTCCAATAATCTAAGGCTACTAATTAGCCTATTATTATTACTGTTATGATGGGGTGAGACTATGTGTCTATGGAACTGTAACCGCTAACAGGCCCATTGTCTATTTCCATGTGATATATGAGTGAATATGGAGCAGCGGTGGAATGATATTGACAGGGTAAAAACTGAAGGACTGTGAGAAAAACATGTCCCAGTGCCAATTTTTTCAGCAGTTAAAGAAATTTCCTTCCTTTATATTTACCATATCTTGAGTCAGGTGAATCTGGTACACACCCTCCAACCAAGACTAATTTTAAAAGTTGCCTTAACCTCACATTTGTCTACTGCTGAAATCCCTTCTCATGGGATTTCAGTTTTTCTCTAACAAAATTACCTTAATTTTTCCTGGATTTCAACTTATCATACTTACTTATGCAGTTATTTCCCTTTCCCCCCAAACTTTTATATTCTAACAGAACAAGTGATTCACAAAACATGAAAACTATTGGTGCCACACAAAAAAAATGTGTGTGTGTATATATCTGAAGTGGTCGTTGTTTTCTGATGGTAATGATCCCATATTCCCAGATATGAGGAACAAGGGGAACCAGTTCTTATAGTAAAATAATTGCTGGCAACTTGTGTGATAAAGACTGTATTTCTGCATCTAAAAATTAAGGTAGAGACAATTATACAAATAAAAATTGTATATATACCAAAGTTACTGAAGGGCAAGTATGTTAACCATTTTAAATGGTTGTTTTGAGGCTGCATCGTGTTATTTTAGGTGTCACTAAATTGCCCTTTTTTATAGAAGGATACAGGTGCGTGACCTGTTGGTCCTGTGCGGCTTATGTCCCTTTGATTTCACTGCCGCAGATTTGCTTCTTCTGCCAAATGATGAAAAAAGGAAATGATTTGTCGACACACTTCTACTAGGAACAGCTGATGATGATGCATCACCATCATCCACAAAAGCAGTATCTGAATCCAAATGACCTTGGCGTTGCATTCTATGTACTAAAATTCTATATGTTCCTATTATGGCACTTCTTGCTCCCTGACTAGAATGTTTTTCAAGCATGGCATTTGTTATACCAAAATTTAATAGTTCCTTTCTGGCTAACATCTCAATACCAACAATATTGTTTTCTTTCTTTTCTGATCCACTATAACTTTGCTGTCTGCTCACCGAGTCTCTCCCCACTGTTAACAATCCCTCTACTGAACTCTGATTATCCACACTATTTCCCTCACTCCCAGATTGCAAACTTTCTTTGTTTCCTTCACTGACAACTACTATTTCGGGATTGTCTTTGTTCCCTAACGCATTTCCAGAAGAGTTTTCAGGTGTCTTATGAACTGGTGTGTCGAAATTTGGTGATAAGCTGTAACTGTCTGATGCACCTGGAGTTAGAGGGAAAGTTATTCCTTTCAACCAAACAGAGTTGCAAATCTCTTGAAGGGTCAGGCGTTCTCTAGGTTCTTTTTTGAGAATCCCTTCTGAAAAAGTTTAATCATTTAATTAATAACTACAAGCAACAGTGACTTTATTATTTTAACATTTCATTGACATCGAGCAGTCTTCTTACATACGACAAAATGGACGTAAGACACAATTCTCAATTTTGATGCTGACTGATCCTTTCTAGAGTGCTGATGCACAATAATTATATCACTACAGGTTAACATGTGGGGCAGCGTAGCTCAGTCAGTGTAATGTCTTACTGTGGACTGAATGACCAGGGCTTGATTCCTGGCAGAGGCAAAAGACTTCTTGTAAACTAATGTCTTACTGTGGACTGAATGACCACGGCTTGATTCCTGGCAGAGGCGAAAGACTTCTTGTAAAATCTCCATCCAGACTGGCCGTGTGTGTAACACTTCCTCAGTGTGTGGCACTAGGAATTCAACCCCATCTAGTGCCAAGTAGTGACACAGCTTTATTTTACTAGTAATTTGTGCATTTCGGTCGTCTACAACCCCTAGCCCAAAATTACTTTATAAAATTTCTCCATTGGAGTATACCTCCTACTGTCATCTCTACATACAAGAACTGATACACTGTCGAGCTATCTGACTCACCAATCATTTTTCTGCACTGGAAGGAAACATGTCCAGGGACAGAAAACGTCCCTTCCAGGACATGTTTCTTGAGTACCGCAACAGTCGGGGCCTTGAATGGCATCTGCGCCGTCACCATGAAGTACAGGAGCACACCGAGAGCCCAGATATCTACAGGTGCCCCCAAGTACATCTCATCCCTGAATAACTCAGGTGCTGCATATGGGGGGGACCCACAAAATGTGTTCAGTTTCTGTCCACTGCCTGGGCATACAAATAATTATTTAAATATTTTTGGTATGGTTTAGTATTGTAAATATGTAAATGGCACAGTATAACATGTTTGTTTGTTCCTTTTATCTATGGACAATTATTACATTACTGGACTCTGCCCCAAAGTATACTCTAGCTACACATCATTTGAAGAGGTATAGTGGTTCTTTCACATACCATCAGTAAGTTGTGTGCTAAATCCAAAGTCACCGAGCTTCACCAAACCTGGGGCAGCATAAAACACATTCTCAGCTTTGATGTCTCGATGAACAAAATTGTGGTCGTGCTACAACAGATTCGAACACGCTACATTCTAAAACATACCTCTCTACACTTTGTTCAAAGTGTTCATGTTTAGTGTGCACCTAAGAAATAAGACTTCTCACACAGAGAATGGATCATTAATAGATTAATGACGATTCATACACGCATTTCTCAAGGTTCATTACACTTCCATGATTTTCACATCCACTGAATTAATGCTGATAAAAATAAACAAACATGTAAATTATTTATTTAGAGTTTCTCAGCATAAGTTCAGGCGTTATGAATTCTTAAAATTGTACTTCTTCGACTGTCGATCTACTAAAATGTCTATAAAGTGGTATAATATAGTTTAGTCAAGGAATATTTCATGGATTAAAATTTTGATTACATAACATTGTTATCTGATGTTAATCAAATTAATAATAAAAATGTAGCCAAGGGAACAACAGGGGTCAATTCTTAATGTCAAGAGTGAATGTGAAAAGGAATACAGTACTCTTTTTTACTTCAGTTTCCTGATCTAACTTCATATAGAATAAATACTGCACTAATATGACTCTTCAAAATTATGATAGCTGAGTCAGACTGGACACTAGGGTGTCCTGGCAGACACCCTTGCATTTTTCTTACAACCACCTGGGATGAACCTAGTGAGTACTGTGGTTAAATGTGGCTAGAGCAGGAAGCTGATCACTCATCTCAAATTAGTGGCCAGGCCAAAATGTATATAGTCTTACTTCGAAAAATATAATAAGTCTTCATGTTATGATTAGGGATAACCATTCTTTTCTCTATAATAAGTCTTCATGTTATGATTAGGCATAGGGATAACCATTCTTTTCTGTTTGCCATAATCGGTCAATATTTTTGTGTTATGAGCTAACTTATAAAGGGAATATCTTCCTTTGAAAACCTACCATGAATTGAACAGCAGACACAACTTGAGCAAACAATTTCTTGGCATCATTCTCGGCAATCCTCCCTGTTGTTGTTATCTTGTTGAACAACTCGCCACCGCTAGCATATTCCATCACAAGGTGGATCTTACTGTAAGTTTCCACTACCTCATACAACCTATGATAAGAGATGATCAGTACATAAAATACAGCATATCTTTATTTGATCCTATAATTCAGGAATGACTGCTATGATTTCAGACAGTATTATATTAATAATATATACATGGTAATTCAAAGCTTTGATACAATATTAAAAAGTTTTGGGGGAAGTTATTTGGAACAGAATATATAAACCAGATTTTTTCAGATTCACCATCCTTTGTCAGTAATTATATTTTCACATTAATGGTGCATTTTTGTTGACAATGTTAGTTTCAATAGAAATTTATTTAACATCACATGTAAATTTATTTATTTGTTTCCAATAAAAGAAAGCAAATTCCGCCATTTGTAGCAATTTCCGATCCTTACTTCAGAGCACTAGTTCTTTTAATACTTTCTGTTCATGTAGCGAGGACCTGTCAGACTATTATATGGTATTGCTCTCGAAGTCTGATAACTGCCCTTCAGCTACGTGTCCTTCCATGAACTCTTAAGTGTGGAACCCCATCAAATGATCACAATAAAACAAAGAGACATCGACGTAAAAACATCACATGGAAATGGTAGTGAATCGAATGCCCATCAAATGATCACAATAAAACAAAGTGACATCGACGTAAAAACATCACATGGATATGGTAGTGAATCGAACAACATTATTTACATTTTCTGCTCCAAATGATATCCCATATAACCTCCTTAAGTGTTTTACTACAACTTTAAATCACCCTGTATATGGTATTAAATCTCTCGTTTCATACACATATCAACTCTATATTGATTATTATCTGAGCACGACTCACATTTTATGCAGAAAGAAAAATATAACAGCAAGAAAGATAAAGCAACAGGAAACATGATAAATAATGGTTGTGTGTAACATTGTTTCAGATCAGGCCATAAAATTGTTGCTGGATACTGCATTCATTTATAAATTTTTGATTCTTGCATATGCATATGAAATCTGAAAATTAACTAATATAAGGAAATATTACCCAACATTTTATATATATTCACCTGATTATGTTAGGATGATGCATATATTCCATTGTTCCTATCTCTTTGGCAAGCATCCTCCGGGTCTTCTGGTCCAGCTTAGCTTTGTCCAATATCTTGACAGCAACACGTTCTATCAGAATTGGGACAAAACGCAATATGAAACTTTCAAAATATCTATATGATAGAAGTTACTTCTTATTTCAAAATTGGCTTATAATTTTTGTAGCACGTTTCCACGTTATGAAGGCACAACCAAACTTACATTTTGTCTGACCTGACAATCTGCCCTTATTAAAAAAATTAATATCTCATTTGGTGAACCTTTTCCATGAGACAGGTAGCATCGAACATGAGCAAAAGAGTTAGTGTGCATCGCTGAACGAGGTGGACATTTCTAGAACTTAACATAACATTGCTTTTTGTTTCCTGATCTGAATGTACTTAATTTTGACAGAATATGTGTCAGAAAAGGGTTACATGATTTCTGAACTGTGGTAAAACTGAGGTCTCAAGAAAAATATGTTGTTAGATGTTGAAAGTATAATTATTCAAAGATTTTGGATTACTCCTATTGCAGCTAAATCATAATTTATTTTTGCCCCTTACCTTTGGTGAGCTGATGTATTGCCATCTTCACTTGTGAGAAGTTTCCACTACCGAGTTCCCCCTGAAAGCGATAAAATCCAACTCGCTTGCCAAGGCTCACCTCCGTTAGCCATCGCTGGTCATGGTGCAGTGAATGAAGTAAACGCTGGTATGGAGTTTCAACACCACTACTACCTGAAACATACAATATTCTGAATTAATCTTTAGAGAAACAAATGGGGCTCAGTTCAATGAAAGAGAAATTTTCCAATGTGGGCATACATTTTATATAAACTTTATAAAGTTATACATTTTGCCCATGATGTGTACCTCATATGTAGAACATCAGAAGACTACTATAATAAAAAATAGAATATAATATTTAATCATTATAAGTGGAATTTTATCGGATAAATGTGGGGAATCAAGAGTTGTAGACTCTAACCTATACATGACAACATAACACACGAAAAAAACATCGAGCTCAATTAGTGTACAAGTGATCCGATGCTGTACACATGTACACCACACAGCCATTCTGAACAGAAAGGGTTGTAGAATGAAACATAAATAACATAACTATTTTAAAATATAATGGAGTAATACAAAAAATAATACTAACGTATAAGGTTAGGGACAGACACCAGAGATTAGTACTGAAGTGTCTTACTGTTATCTTCGCTCACTTTCTGGTTCTGTGGAACTTGTCGATTCATTCGGTAGGGTATGAACCGCAGTAGTTGGCATCACCTTTCTTGACCTGTGCTGCTGCCAATATTCTTGGTGCAAGGTCAGATGTTATAATACCACCTTGACCGACGTAATCCCAATAGAAAATCCGATGTCACGCTCGGGGCCATTTGGATTTCAGTGCATTCTGAAAAATACAAGTCCCCTTATATCGCATGTATAGAATATTTGATAAATGTCACGTGGTAACATGGCCTCCAAGTTGTCTGTTGAAAAACCAAGGTAGGATTAAGAAGTAAAGTTGATTTCTTTCAAAAAGCACTTGATCTGCAGTAATAAAAAATCCAGTAAGTAAAAAACCATGTTCCTAGTTCATTTTTAATATGAGTTAGATTCTTCAATTACTTTTCGCTACTGGACTCGCGTTTTTCGCGTTACGAAGACGCCTGTAATGTTGGATTTAAATTATCTAATTAGAGCAGTACAGTTCAGTTTTTTAGACTCTCTAAAAACGATGCGCAGACATGTGGACGAGTCCAGTAACAGAGGTGGAGAATTAAGGAGATGTGTGGGTTAGTTCAACCACAGCTTAACTAACCCATTGCACATAAAATTTCAACTCACACTTCTGTTCCCGTTACGCGCTGCTTAGCGGCCACGTAAAATAAATTGAACTGTACTTATCTTGTTACATGTGTTTAATACGAATGTACTGTACACGCTCCTCTTTGCAAAGTAAAGGTCTCGTTCTCAGAGTAGGCAACATATAATTCATTTACTGGGTCAAAGTCGACACACAACTGTCGACAAACTAAACAAACCATATTAAACTTAAAAACTTCTCAATTATCATAACCTCAACTTTAGAATTGACTTTTCTCTACGATTATAAACAGCAATGCAGCGGTTCTGAAACGTGGCGTGACACAGGAAAAAGGTGTTTATATAAGGATCCAAAGTTCAAATATCCTCGGTTAGCTCTGACTGAGGATCAACTAATAGCCACGAAGCAGACTATTTGTAAAGCAAACTACAAGTCAAATTAACTCCATACTTCAACCGATAACTTTAAAGCTCGTCACTGGACGCAATAATGTTCCAGTTACATTCGTCTCCGACCATCATAACCCATTTTACTAATTTCCATTTTAATATTATCCTTCAATCTCATTGCATAAGTGGACATTTTCAAAGATATTTCCACACCAAAATTCTGTATGTATTTCTTATCTGCACTATTCTATCCACATACTAAACGCTGCTAAATTTGGCTACCTTAATTACTGTAGGTGATATTTAAAAA